ATTCTTTTTCCCACTTCGTTCATAATGGTCTCAATCTCCTGCTCCGTGAAGTTATTTTTCCTTAGCCGTTTTCTCACTAACCAGACCCTGCGCCGTATACGTAATTACGCAAACGTTTTGCCTCATTCACCTCTGGCAAAGCAATGTGGGTTTTCCTTAGTTTTGTGCATAAAGCCCCATAAACGCAATTGATCTTGCTCAAAACTGCTCATCCTCTGCCCTGTTCTCCGCAGCAGAGATAGGATGCAACACGCTTTTGTGGGAACTGGTTCATTCATTCATTCATTCGTTTATTATTTATTTATTTACTTCTAAATTTCAGGAGAGATGAGTGCTGCAGTGGGTCTTGACACTAGGGAAAAACGCGTATATATAATAGAGCGTATATATAATAGAGCGTATATATATATTTTTTTTTACGTGAATAATCTCAGAATTGTGTGTTTTTTGAGGCTTCCAAACAGTCTTCTTAGCCGACTTCCTGCTGACTTGTCGCAAAAACAGGGCGTGGAACAGGCAGTGAATGAATATTGAATGAATATTTCTAGGCGTGACTTTCATAAATACGCTGGTTTTGAGCGCGGCATTTATCAACAGCCGCAAGTGCGTACGCTTAGATCTGTGCGTATCTCACACGTTCATAAATGCCACGTCGGATCTTGCGTAAATGGAATATACACCCAAAATATACACCCTTTTCTACGCAACTTTCATACATGAGGCCCAATGACCGTAAAGACATAGTTTTTATAGCTTTGATTTGGTCTCTTTTTAGTTGTCACGTTGAGGTTTTGTTTTTGTGACACACTAGTTTCTATCTGTGAAGGTTCAGTGTAGGTTTTATTTTGGTAACGTTGAGTTACCCCCTTATGTCCTGTATTGTGTCCTTTTGATCTATGTCTACTTGTCATTTCCATTCCTGTTATTAAATACTTGCTTTACCATTTTAACATTTTGGTTTTCTTTGTTATTTCCCTTACCCTATAAGAGCTGGGTCGTAACAGTCTCCCACTCCACACAGATATGGGAGTGGGGTTTCCTTGAGGGGCTATGGTTTCTTCTTCCACTACAAACATGCACAATAGGCAAAATCATCTTTCTCTGATCGGGACCAACCTGAGCAACAACATCTGGAGTCCCTGGGTGCTGTATTACTATACTCGCCTTAATAGCGATGAAGGATGGGACAAATGTAGGGGACAAATTTTCCTATCGGGACAATAAAGTATATTTTAACTGACTGAATCTCCAGAGAGTCAAGGATATAGCAGGCCCTTTATTTACCTGACAAATAATATGTTGCACTTTAGAAATTACAGTGTGCAGTACAACGACGCCTCAAAACCCTGAAACAGAAAGCGTAAAACATGACTATACACAATCAGCATTTCACCGATCTCCATTGACTTTTCCTCATTCGACCTCCCATTAGCTCTGCTTGTGTAGATAGCGGTCTGCCCCACTCTCTCCATAATGGGCCTGAAAGTGGAAAGAGGCTCCTGAGTGTGAATGAAGCATCAACAAAAGCCGACGCAGTGCAGGAGGACCACTGAGGATTCCACTCTCCATAAGTGCTATTGTACCTACAGTATACGCACTCCAATGCCGCAGAGTCACATGATCGCGCCGTGGTCCCAGAGGACACCAGCATAGTGGGTATATGCGGCGGAGTGTATGAATGCAGGTATTTACTTATGTTGAGATATTGCATTGAGTTGGTGCTTGCCCTGGTAGAGGTTGCTTCTTCTAGTTGAGTGTGATTAATGGATGTTTTCTTTTTCCAGAATGAATGTCTGCAGAAAGAACCAGTTGTAGTAGGACAAAGTGGCAAGTGTGTGTTCAACAAGTACATTTTGCACTGTTGTAGCATCACACAGCGTAGATTAAGATTAAGATGAACTGAAGAGATCCTTTATTCGTTCCACAGTGGGAAAATTTCAGAGATTTCCATATTAAGCCTTTGAGAGCATACCACCTTTTGAGTGCTAACCATTTTGGGAATTTTCTCCATTAGAATCCACAGTCCTCATTTTTCATTTTCAAAACCCAATGATGAAAGTAACAAAGTTAGTAGTAATTAGCAGCTTAGTGGTTTTTTTCGACTGTTGTGATGAAAAAAATGTCATATTGGTTTTTAACTTTGATCACAGAACATTGCATTTTGAACTTTGATCAGCTACATTACAATTCTGCTCCTATCTATGTCATTATATTTTAGTCCCATTTCTGTTTGCTTTGACTAAAACATCATAGAAAAGTTTTGAAAGTTGACTATACTTTGGGAATCATGCTGCCTTGGGTTTTTTGTGTGGTCATCAGGCCAGAATCGTCCAAGTTTAGACGCAGTGTGGAGCAGGGATTGTGCTTACACTGCGCTGGCTTATTGTCACTTGTAACGCCCTGGCCCTATTTAATGGGCAATTTCCCTTAAATTTATCAGCCTCCTGCTTTGATGCCACTAACTGGTGATATGCACCTTGTGAGTGATGCTCATTGTATTCAGCACTTTGCTTCGTACAGTATCTGCCTGATAGAATGTCTCCACTCAGCACGTGGTTTGAGAAGTAGATTCTCTTACAATGCACTGTCTCTGCACTTTCTTATCGCCAGGGCTCTTGAAGACACATGACTCATTGTGCTCCCGAAGTGGAGGTGGAACCCAGCTATACTGATGTAGTTGGCTTAAGTCAGTAATATTATACAAACTAGAAGAGGGCTTTGACATACAACATTTCATTCTGTGAATTGCACTGCTTTATGTCACATTAAAGAAGCAAACTTATGTCTTCATTGAAAAAACTGATAAGGTTTTCCCTTAGAATCAATCTGCCAGATGTTTTACGTTTAACTGGTTCACGCCAGATGTAGTGTTGAATCCTACCTCACACATCTGGAGAGACTTCTGTGAAAGGTGAAATTCAGTTAAATAATTCAAGCTAATTGGACAAAGTGTCAACTGCTGCTCCCCCACCAGAGTTTGAGCTCAACTAAATAACAATGACATTCTCAAAGTGTGCCTTCTAATGGATATGGTATGATGTATAGGATCTATTTGCTCTTGTGTCTTTTGTAGTTTAGTTGGGTTTTTGGGTGAATTACTCACAAATGTTGAGCTTGTGCATGCGCTGCCTGATCCTTTAGTTTGTGTTGCTCCACTGGATGATCTGATTTGATTCCCTGTGGTCATGAATGTAACACACGCTGTTTTTGAAGGTCTCAAGGTCTCTATATTTGTCACTGAGGTTCTTACTTCTATCTTTATAATCTTCAATTACGCTAAAACAGACTCAATAGCAGTCTTAGCATATTTTTGTGATTTTGCCTGGTGCTGCATGAGGGGCCAAATCCACACAACTGGTTTGGGATTGGCTCGTCACTCTGTGGTTCAGACTCTACAAACCAATAGCCCTTCAATATGGATTCTCAAGTGAATAATGAAATCACAACATTGCTGCGCAAGGGTTGTTTGATATAGTATTATTTGTATTAATTTTAAAGTTGCTTTTTGGCCTTTTGTCCATTACAATTACCACAACACAAATCATACTTGCAGATGCAATTTCATCAGAGTAAAAAGTGGTTTGTCTTTGTCACTGCTTTAACACCTTTTTCTAAAACAGAAATATTTTATACATACACATGAAACTGTTCCACAGACACTAACATTGCCCACTCAGCAGCCTTCACATAATTAAAATACAATGCACTTTTGTGAGGGAGACAGCCCCTGATTTTACACTGTAGCTTGGCTTCAAGGGCACAATTTACATCCCCGCCTGTTATTTAGAAAATGTCAGCTTTAGTTAAGGCCCTTTGGCCTTTTTGAAGATCTTATGACTGTTGTGTAAAGGGCAGAGAGAAAGACCATTGTCCTGGACGTGGACTATGGTGTTGAATTAATCATAAGTGGAAGTATAGCTCTATATGTCAGCATTGTCAACCCGCAAAGAACTTAATTAGAGCTATAGGACTCTTCTCGCCTCTTTGCACTGCAGGGTTTTCTTCTGCTTTGTCAGCTGTGACCCATAAATTATATTGTATATCACAAAAAAGAGAGGCACTATAGTATTGGGAAAACTCGAGCAAGGTTCTGAGAACTCTGCCAGAAAACAACTTTACTTTATTTGGAGACATGTCCATGACAAGTGGTTTTTGCATACACATTTATATTGGATACCAACTGAAACAATCTTTAACAATCAAAGGTTGGCTGGCCTTTTATTTGATGTGAGAAGACTTTAGTAAACCAGCTGATAGTGACACACAACGTATGAACAGTTTCATGTTTGAAGTATAGTGTTCATGAATGTTACTTTTAGACTACACATGCACATCCCACCACTGTCAGACTGTACAATAAGTCACCTAAAGATGAAATATACCATCTTTTAACTTTTTTAACATTGCTTTTAACATGTAACGTTGCACATTTCCCGTTGTTTACAAATTGCACACCCTGGGTTTATCCCAAATGTGGCATGTATATATCTGCTTTGTGAGATCAATAAAGTTTGATCTTATCTTATCTTTTGGATCCATTGTATCATTAGTTCACTTATATTGGTTAGTTTTGTTTAGTTCATAGTTTCATTTCAAGCGCACAATGAAAACGTGTACAACAAAATCAAAAGAACACTGATAGTAAAACAAAGACAACTCACCGCTACTTGAAAAGGAGTGGGATGAAGTTGAACACTTACCCAGTCCTTCTTCAAAACATTTCACCAAACATGTTCTTTCTTGCAAAACAATACATACATATTCACAATATGTTAGCAACATAAACAAACTCAATTTATTTCAGTTACAACAACACTTATAATTTCTTTCATAATTGTTGTTTGTATTTGGACATTGCTTGAACTGCTCAGTTAAGCTGGTACCAATAATTAAGCAGATACTAATAACGTTAGTATGTGGTATTGGTAGATATAAAACCAAATATACAGTTATCGCACGCCTTGTTTTTGTTTTTTGACTTTTGTTGTTTTCTTCCACAGGGTGAACATTTTAGAGAGCGGAAACCTACGCATCTGGAATGCAACCAAGTCGGACTCGGGCACGTACACATGTGTGGCGAGGAACCAGTTCGGCGTGGCCAGCAGCACGGGCAGCCTCACCGTCAAAGGTTTGTTCTGTCCCTAATGCGCTTCACGTCGCTGCTGCTCAGTGAACACATAAATACAGTCATTACCTTCAAATATACGGTTATTACTCTGACATGTCACCATCATGGATTTCTCACTGACATGTTTGCCTATTAACACAAACAAAAATGGATTCATTCTCTACAAGGACTAGGGCTGGGGAACCAAAACATTTTCTTTCTTTTTTTTGTCCCAACAGAAAGATTTGGGAGTGTAAAAGTTAAACATTATGAACAAACAGCCTGTCTTCATCTTCTAAGAAAGCGTTTTCTTTTGCACACATGTGAGTCACTGTTTCACGCTTTAGGCTGAGAGCTGATTGGCTGAGTGAGGATGGTACTCTTTTTTTCACTTTTATTTTATTTTCAATGATACATGCATGTGAAAAGTACTGATAGAACCAAACTGGAACAGGTTTGATGGGTAGTTTGAAAGTGTAGGTACCCCAGCTTTAAACATATCTACAATGTTACTAAGAACATATACTCATTTAGATGAATTCAAAGTGATTAAAAGTCGTCATACAAATTTGTCTCTATATAATCAGAGTTAGGTATACAATTTCCTCCACATTTGTCAGGCTTTAAGTATAACATATAATTACAATTCACATATTATTGAGAGATAGAGCACAGCCATGAAATAACATGTGATTGTGGTATGAAAGTTAGGCACCCCAGCTTTAACAAACCCAAATGGTTGCTTTAACATTATTCAAATGACAGAATCAAAAGAAATACATATTAGTTTAACATTTAATGAATGAAATGACTCCAGACTTACCGTACTGCGATGCTGTCTAATCTACACGCATTTTGTTAGTTGACCCCAATTGTTTTAAGCGCTGGTGTTTGAGGTGCATGCGCTGCTGATATGAACAAAGTTGAAATCATTTTCGAGCATAAAATGTGGTGTGTTGAGTAAATGTATTCCGTGCACACGCTGCTGTTTTCTTCTGTCACATTTCCACTGGGGATACGCTTCTCACCCTCCTCCTGCGGGACATGCTGACATATGCTGAACTATAGCCTTATTCTGACCCGGTTTCTCTCCGAGGCAACATGGTTCATTTAGGTTATTACTATTTGTTCTGCCTTGACCTCCCTCGCCACGCGGTCAGGGTAAATATACGGAATTATTGATCCTCTCTATAAGGGCCTCAAGGGGAAAGCCAGTTGAAATGTTGTGATTATAATGCATGGTGTAAATAAACATGGGGTAGGGTTGTGGTGATTATGTCAAACTAACTACTGTACGTTGCTCCATTCACTCTCCCACTCTTAACATTCACAAACGACGTGATAAGATTGAGATTAGGAGATTCTTTATTCGTCCCACGGTGGGGAAATGTCACTGTTGCATCACAAGTTACAGAATAGTAGGAATGATGAGCACAGAGCACAAGATAAATGAATAAAAACGCTATACTAAAATGAAAAAGAATAAAATCTCTGACGCTAGCATAAAAAGAAGCAGTATAAAATCTCTATCTCTAGCATGATAAGGAAAGAAGTCTTCAAACCTCTAACTTTGGCATGATGAAGACTTAAGCACAAAAACCCCTGACTTTAGCATAATTTAGCACTGCTTTACGATTAGAATGATCTTATATATTATTTAGTATTATCCTCACAAATGCAGGAATCAACATAGCTCTCATCTTTAAACCTGGTTGCTTTTGTGTTAAATCTTGAATGACAGAAAACCCAACGTAATGTGAATGAATGTACGTCAGCAGCTCTGCCTGTTTCTGCCGATGCAACACTTTGCACCACTCTATTTCCAGGAGAGCATGACATAATTGCCCCAGAGAAATTTCAATCCAACTCTGGAATCCAGAAGTGTTGGTGCATATTTAATTTAAACATCAGTAGTTAAAGGAGTTGTACCAGTAGATACATAATTAGTGTAAACTCTATCCTTTGTAATGATAGGGTCATTATTGGTAGGGAAAATCACTGCAATAATATAGAGAGAATCAAATTCACTTGGGGCTACAGCAAAAACGCAAACAAAAACTCTTATGCGGTAGAATTTTTCTTTTCCTAGACCAGGCATGTCAAAATATATTAGTGACATGTTAGTCCCATATGAACCAGCCCGGACTCTGAGGAGCACAGGGACTGGACTCCTGTTAGTGCCCAGAGTCAGGACTAAACATTGGGAGGCTGCTTTTCAGATTCATGCTGCTAAAATCTGGAACAATCTTCCTGAAGATGTGAGACAGGCCTCCTCTCTGACAATGTTTAAAACCAAGTTAAAAACGGTGCTGTTTAGCTGTGCATACAACTGAGGGATTTTATATTTTGATCTTTATAATGTTCTGTGATTATTTATGATTTTAATGCTATCTTGTTCAGCACTTTGAGTTGCCTTGTGTATGAATTGTGCTATACAAATAAACTTGCCTTGCCTTGTCACTTTATCCATCCATCCATCCATTTTCTTCCCCTTAGTCCATTTCTGGGTCAGGGGAGTAAGTAAGCAAGTAATGTTTATTTACTATATATAGCGCATTTTACAGACCAAGGTGACCCAAAGCGCTTTACAATGTTCAGAGGACAGATATTGTTGCCAGCAGCAATGACGGAAGCAAGTCGCCGAACAAACTGGCGCATCATACCATACCATGGTAGGGGAAACTGGAGCACCCAGAGGAAACCTACACAGACACGGGGAGAACATGCAAACTCCACTCAGAAAGGCCCTGTTTGAACCCAGGATCTTCTTGCTGAGAAGCGAGAGTGCTATCCACTCAGCCACCGTGCCGCCAGTCAGAGCTGCACCCAGTACACATAGCACCAGCACTTCACTTACCCTCCTGCAGGTGGGGAGTCCAGAGAAGCTGAGATCTTTCAGCGGGAGCTTCAGGCAAAGTGGGTTTAAGTGTCTTGCCCAAGGACACAACGACAGCAGTCATCAGCGGGAGTTGTGAAGTAGGTGTTATGGTGGGCTCGAACCCACAACCTTCAGGCTCAAAGGCCAATGCTCTACCAACTGAGCTACTGTCGCCCTAATGTCTAAATATCTTTCTTAATGTAAAAGATAATTGTATTACAAGAACAGTTCTTGACACCTCTGCCCTAGACTTTATACATTGCCACATTTGCCACTTGCAGTAAAACCACATTGGAATACATGTGCAAAAGTAACCTGGAATAGTTTAATATCCACCCTCTTAACTCAACTACAGTGTTTCTAGAGTATCAGTGACATCCTGCTATTGTCTGCAAACCTTTAACCTTTTTGTACATGTCACATTTCTATGTTTTAACCAGGACCACTGACTTCATCATCATTCACACTGCTGCATGTTCTGAGTGGTGAGGCAGACCAGAGTGCCCAATGTGATCTCATTCTTTGCTCACTGTAGATATTGTATGCAAATAGCCAAATCCAATTTCCCTTTAGAAATTCTAAACATGTTGCGTTGATGTTTATTGAAGTTGTCACAGGAATCTCTTTCATTTAAATCATCTTAATGTAGATTCTGAGGATTTTCTGGTAAAGCGTGTGAATGCATAACCAGCAGTCAACATGCCAGCATTGTGTGATAGGATACAAATAATTATAAAACAAATTTACATCAGGTTGGGGTGTCTTAGTTGATCAAATTGTTGATTTTCCAAATGCCAGACAGGTGTGAGCCGTAAAAGAAGCCACCTGTCAGAGCAGGTTGTCACAGATGTGTTGCCACAGACACTACAGTGACACATCTGTGCTCATATGCTCCAGTGACTGAACATATGAATACAGGATGTTTGTGTTCTGTTTGTTCACACGAGGCCACAGGAGGCTTTTTATTTACATTTTGCATTCAAAGGGTCACTGAAGCATGCTGACAAAATAATGCTGTGAAACTGAATGTAGAAAGAAGAGAGAGAGTTTACAAAGAGAGTTGCGGCGTGCTCCAGCATAAACTCGGCACTGGTTGGTTTGGTAAACTGGACCAAATCTGGTTCACATGGGGGGGGTCTCCAAATTGTACCTCGGGAGCCACCAGTAGCTCGCCACCTTCCAGGTATAGCTCACCAAAGGATTTAGAAATGAACAAATTCAAATAATATACTTAATATTTCAGATTTTGTTATTCATTATTATTATCTAGTGTAAATGTACTTACTTTGTGCACTAGTAACAAATATGCAACGATAAATATTGACTGTACCTAATGTTAGGCTTGTTCACACCAAAATATCAACAATTTATTTCCAGGGCCGCTTAAAAGAGTAGCTCTCTGCCTATATTATCCCAGGAAAGTTGCTCTCTTGGTGAAAACAGTTGGAGACACCTGGATTAAAATGTTGTAAACCAGGTGTGTCAAACTCGTTCCAGGTTTTCATTCCAACCAAGCAGAAACTCACATGACCCATTTCCTCAAGTCTTCAGGTTAAGACTGGACTCACTTGAGGAAATAGATTTGTTGGGTTTGATTCCATCTCCAGACCTTGCTGTGTGGTGTTTGCATGTTCTCCCAGTGTCGGCGTTGGTTCCCTCCGTGTGCTCCGGTTTCCAATCACAAAAAAACCCCACAATAGCTCTGGCATGCGCCTTCTGTGCGGCGACCCCGCTCCCATCTCTGTGTGGAGTGAGAAGACAAATACCCACAACAATTGTAAAGCGCTGAATCTGTGGTGTGTGAAAGGCGCTATATATAAATAAAGATTACTTACTTAGTTACTTACATCTACAAATAGTGTTTTTTTCCCCAAAAGAGAAGAATAGACTGGGTAATGGAGGATGGTTTACCAGGTTACTTAATGTACAAGCTTCCTGCTACTTTTTTATTCATTCATTCTTTATAGAAAGTATTTTTTAGTGGCAGTCTTCACTTTCCACTGGCTATCACCAACCAACTGTTCCAATCTCAAAGTTATTCAGGTAGAAGGTGGATTAATGGGGCTTGTGATATACCATAAAAGATTCCCATTGTCAGACTCCCTTATTTCAAAGCCTGTAGGGTTGAGTGGAAGAATGCACTGGCTGGCATATTCCTGTCATGGGAGCCAGTGTGGGCAGATTATTATTCATGATCGCTGCTGTGCTTGTGGGGTTATAGGCCTGTCGCGCAGCCCACAGAGGACCACCCATTTGGTAACTGTTGGTTCTCTCCTGGCTCCACACACGCATAATATGATGTTGGAACACAAGGTCTGAGGGTCCCTCTGTGCGGCCATGTCAGAGAGTCATCTGTTAGGCTGACGAAGTGTGCGAGGCTGGTGGGGATCCATAGCGGGTGCAGCTGTAAACTCTTTATAACCTGTCATGTATTTCCAGAAATTACAGTTGTTGGACTGTCCTCATGGAAGGAAATACACTGAATGGGGGTAAACAAGGGAGTATTGTGCAGGAGGTGGTGTCTTTACTCACATTTCACATGGCCGTTGTTTAATTATAGCACTAAATATAAAAGTGTACATGTTGAAGACTCAGGCGGCTTATGTTTCCTCAAAAGGTCAGTGAAAGATAATATCCATAGATTTAGGCTATATCCACACGAAGACAAAACGCTTATAATTTCAGAAACTTTTTCTGTAAACACGGAGTTAGCTCAGTAAATGTGTGCGTCCATATGAATGTAGTCAATACGCCTGAAAACGCTGTGAAACTATGCCAGACCTGTTGGTGGCGCTGTGACGCAATGACGGGATCAAGCCCACACTTCCGTGGGCATGCGCGGAATTTTGTAAACAGACAACATGGCGAGTGGGCGAGCTGGTACTACATTAGTATGGACGGACGATGAGGTTGAACTGTTGCTTCGGGTCGCACTGGATTACAAAACAACAAGCTACATTGTTGTTGTCATTATTTTCTGAGTGCGGCGCATGCGTGCTTTAACAAGAGGCGGGGCGATGACGCAAGCGTCTCAGATACATTGCGGAGAGGCAGTAACCGCGGAGCGGCATATACGGAGTTTTGAAATCTTTCCACTCTGGGACCTAGTTTCAAAAATGTTCGTTTACACCCCCCCAAAACGCCGGCCTCGTATGGACGATACACTGGATTGATAAAGTATTTTTGCGTTTAGGCCTGAGCTTGACTTCGTGTGGACAGGGCCTTAGACTAATATGACTTCCTGCGTCACCAGAATTGACTAATTGATTTTACATCTTGTTCTTCTAAAGACAGAATCTTTCCATGTATTGACTCCACTATATATGACTTCTACATGAGCTTTTCACTAGATTACCAGTAAGTAATATTAACAATAGAATTTTGTAACATGTTTGCAGATTTTTTTGAGGGTGATGAGCTACAGTGGATTGCGAAAGCATTTAATGTATTTAGAATTCACTTTTTTTCACATTTTGCCATGTTACAACATGTTATGCTGAAATAACACAACTTTTGACATAATCATGTTGCAATTTGCTTTCACTTCACAGTTTTCTGTTACTTTGTGGTGGTCTTTCAGTAAAATATTCAAACTATAAACTCTAAGTTTAATTTTGTTACATAAAGAACTAGTTTCACAACACAACTCTTTATATAGAGTTAATTTGCACAACCTGATATCTCTGTTTTGAAAAGTTCCATTCAATTAAACTTTATTTTAGAGCACTTTAAAGGCAACACAGTTGACCAAAGTGCTGAACACAAGTCTAAACATACAATATAATATGAAAACATATACAATAATAGTGTTGTAGTCCGTTAGCTACAACCTTCAAAAAGTTTTTTTATTGGCAAAACATATAAAAGAATATGCTCAAGAAGGGGTGAAACCTTATTTGTGTGGCATCAATATAGATCTGTTTTATTTAACTACTTAAAAAATAATAATTTCAATGTTTTCAATTACCTTTGTAATTTGAATTGTGGTTTTAATAGTGATTTAGGTGTTTACGTCTTATGTGATGCTCTGTGCCTTGTGTTGTGTGGATGTGAAGTGCTTTGTGTTATCCTGTGTAGGAAAAGCACTTTCGCTTTTCTAGTGTGAGTTCATATCGGGTATAGTATAGTGTATAACGAAAGCCAAAACATCGAGATAATTTGTGGCATTCCTATTCTTGATGACCACATCCTGTAACTATTATGCAGAATCTTAGGGTCATATTGTTTTGTTTTTAGGTTAGAAAAAGCATTTTATTCAGATCAGTCTAAATAATGTTTAGAGGGCCAGGTGTTTCAGATTGTGCTCTCTATATCTCTCTCTCTCTCTATGACCAGCTCCTGCCTGTGATCTGATTGACCCTGCTAAGTGAGTGAGCTACCATCCTCATGTTGACATTGGCAGTAGGTAACAAGGCATTAGACAAGATACAAATCAATCAATTCATGCTTCCCGGCCCAGCATGCAGAGGGATAACTGGCCTGGTAGCCCACATAATCTGTCACAAATGATGACAGAGGAGAGTAATAAGGCTGCAAAACCCCAACACGGTGGTTCCACAGAGTCCCTGGAGGCTGCGAGGGCCCAGAAAGTCAAACCACAATGAGATGAGTACATGAGGAGACGATGTAGTCTGCTGGAGATACAGATGGTTTCCACGCAGTGCTTGCAGTCAAAGTACATATATTAGTTGTTCAGGCTGTTGTGTTGATAATCTGAATTTCAAATACAATCAATCAATTCATAGCAAATCCTGAAATAGCCTTTATGTCAGGCCTTGTGGCTCAAACATGTTATCCTGACATGTGTATTAGAATCATAGACTGTAAATATTAACCGACGTAGTGATGCCTAGCTCCGCCGTTAAAACGTATGTGCCGTCACCTCCCTCCTGCCATTTTTTTTAAAATGGCTGCCGACATATTTTGATAATCCCACCTATTCACTGGGTAATGCTGGCATATACATATCTTACATAATTGTTTTGACATGCGTACCGATTTCAGTATTTTCCTGGTATTTCCTTGTTTTGATTACAGTTTAATTTGAATGGTTTCATCCGGTTTTGAAAGCTTACATTTGAAAAACTTTCATGTGAATACAATCATATTTTACAAAGGAAAAGGCAGAAAAGAATCCTCCCCCACTCCCTTTGTAAGACACTTCAGAACCGCCATTGGTCCTTGTGGAGAATGTCTTCTTCTTTTTATATTTCCCATTTCCTTCCTGCAAGGTCTCTTCAGGTAACCCTCAAGATTTTATAGAGATGACATTCTTCCCCTGTTTTTTCCCCCTTACATTTACGCTCTCATTGTGTACTGACAAAAGCAGCAGCTGCTTGTAGTCTGGCCAGATATCAGAATAGAAACGAATAAATCACAATGCGTTGTATGCTGAACCGTGTGGACCAGGGGAACAATGCAAAGAGGGATTCAAATGTAATGAAGATCGCACTGCCGGCACGTTCCACATGAATCTATGCCTGTTCAACTGCCGATTGCCATGGTTAATTTCCCCTGAAATTAGAGCCGAGTGATCACAGCGCCCCCAAGAGGAAACCAGTTGCTCAACACCTCCTCTGTCCACATCCAAGTCTAACATGCAGGAGCAGATAAGGAGGTGTATTCCCATGTGGAGGCATTGTAATGCACTACAGGCTTGAAAAGAAATAGTGGGTGGATGTTTGCTGTTTTTCTAGCAGTGCATCGTAGGAATTGGAGGCTGATCGGGGTTAGATCTGAGCAGAAGCCTGGGTTTTGACAGTGACACATAGCAGCTTGTGTGGGTCCCTGTGGAGACCAGCTCAGGCTTTTGGCTAATACCAGTTATTGTGGCCATGCACCCAGTTCACCGTACGCTCCGTTCTGTATATCCTTCTATTTAGCTCAGCCTGACATCGCCATAACGATGATGGAAATGCTGGGATTTGTGTAAAGACATTTGCCACACGGAATAATTTGGAGCTGAACATTGCGAATGATCAAATGTGAAACGTATACTTGTTTACGTACAGGCAAATAAATGAGATTGCAAAATGAGAAATGCAATGAGACCGAGAAATATATGATGATATTAGTTGTTTGTGTATGTGAGAAATATCAAAACATGGTGTGATAGTGATATTCGTCATAAAGTAAAATTGGATCTGTGTTCTCAATGTCTATAAATATGCTTTGTGTTTGCACTCCAGCATAGGAGGAGTGTGCTGCCAGACAAACAACTATACAACCCTATTGCTGCAAATTCCAAGTGATATAAGATACATTATTTTATCACCCATCGCCTTTATTCTTAAATATTAAGATAAGATGAGATAAGATAAGACTTTATTGATATCACACTGGAGGAATTGACATTTTCACATTTGGCATAGATATAATCACTCAGATTGTGCAAAAGACAGAAGTGTGCCAACATGTTAAGGTTAAAAATATAACTTTAACACATTTGGTTTGTCCCAAAAAAGTTTCACGACCAAATCAGAACGTCCTCTTTATCCTATTGGAAAACATACCATCTCATACATACATACTAGAAAGAGCCATGCAAGTCACTATTTGATGCTTTGAACTGATGATTGAAGGTTGTCCTCTCTTTCTCAATTTCCCGTCTGAAAAAGTTGATCTAAAATATGACAGAGGCCAAAAATACATGCTTAGTGCCATGTTTTGTGGCTTGTAAGTTAGGTAAATCAGCTTTACCTCTCATCTTCTAATATGTTTTTTTCTGTGAATGGTTCCAGAGCCGACCATCATCACGTCTCAGCCCAACACCCTGGATGTGAATGTGGGTGAGAGCGTGGTGCTGCCCTGCCAGGTGAACCACGACCCCTCCCTGGAGCTCAAGTTCACCTGGTTCTTCAACGAACAGCTCATCCACTTCGGCAACCATGGAGGGTTCTTCGAGAAAGTGGGCGGAGTAAGTTATTTTGGTGTTTTAGACTGTATATAGATGGACAATGCTTTGCTCCAATTCACTTACATTACAAAGAAAACTCCTCATTTGTGTTTACAAGGTTTGTATAATGATATAGTTTTTCTAAATTCAGATAGCCGTAACAATTGACTAATCAGGAGCCTTCTGTCACCAAATTAAGATGTATTTAATTGAATATATTTAATAATTCTGTTCACTTTTAAATATGCATACGTTAAACTAACAATAATTACATACATGATAATAATTTAACATATTAAACAAAATAAATGAATACAAACAATGTATTCAAATGAAAGTATCCTAATCACCAGGGGGATTTGGGGCAACATTTGTCCTCCAAATCCAAACTCAAAACCTCTGCCTCTTACCCATGCAATTCTATATGAATGAGCTATGCATTTCAAAATAATAAGTTTTATTATACAGATGAATATTATCAAATTAGGTTTATTTTATAGGTTTGTGTAAAAATGTCCGAAAAATAAAATAAAAAAGAGTATCAGTCAGATTAAACAGATGTTTCTTAGTGCAGCCTGTTTGAGGTAGATATTTATGAGTGTAGCTGTTTGAGGTAGATATTTATGAGTGTAGCTGTTTGAGGTAGATATTTATGTGAGTGTAGCTGTTTGAGTTATCTCTAATGGCCTCTTCTGGCAAACACTATGAGTGACGTCAGATGTTGATTGGTCCACATGTGCATTGAGAGGAAAATCAACCCAAAATGCTGCATGTAATTTGTAACACAATTGTAATTTTTTCCTCATTCGTCATTGCGTTTTTCAGTTTAGCATGATCATCATTTCCATCCATTACAACTGTGAAGCAGCTTAGAGCTTGGCGAGTCAAACCATCTCCAGCTTCTAGAGTGGATTTTATATAAACGCCCAATCACACATTCAAAATTCAATTACAGAATGAGCTAAGTGGAGACAAAATACAAACTGCAACTCAAAACAATTAACACCCCAAATGAAGTGTCTCTTTGGGATGAATATGTTAACTATAATCATGTGGTTTGTTTTCCATGGAGACTTGCAGCGCGCTGATCCCACGGACAAAATCATATTCTCTGCCAACAGCTGCATACACTCATAGTCACTCGGTTTCTCTTTGTTTCAGGGGGGCTGTACACGGTTATGCAAAAATGGATACGTCTAAAGTTGATGAGGATTCAATGCTTTTATATGTTTGTGCTAAAACTCCACTCGTCAAATGGGTTTTTTCAATTAATAACAAAGTAGCAAAGGCCAAAAGTTGCTCCGATGATTCAATGGAACATCAATATTGCGCTTCCTTCTTTTAGCTGGGTCATAATATATTCTGCCGCAGTGCAGAGGAAATGTTTGTATCATGTTTATTATTTATGGCCAAAAAAATGCTGCCTGTGGTTTTTTTAAATTTACATACCCACCCTCCATATAGTATGGGGTTTCCTACACACTGAAACTCAACTCAGAATGGAATTCAGAGTCATGCATATTGTAACAGTTGGTCTTTTCAAAGTGAATCACCGGTAACATGTCTAATATTGATGTATGTTTTCAACGTCGACACAATTTCAGTGCTACTGTATGCAAAGGAGTTGGTATAATTGTGTTTAGACATGCCAGGATGAAGAAAAATGGCTTACGACTGTGTGAAAAAACTTTCTATTCATTTGTTTATTTATTTCACACAAACTCATGATATACAAACAATTATTCACAGAAAAACACATATCATGAAAGCCATAAAAACCCTGTGCATGGTTGAAAAGGTGAAGCAAAAAGTTGAACAAAAGGTTGATCGGATGAAGCAAAAGGCTTATATTAATCCAATCCCCTCTCAGCCATACTACAATACAATACGAAAACAAGAATCAATACCCTTCAGTTCCCTTCAACAAAACACACAACAGCGATATACTTACTGTGCCTGGCGCAAGACCCAGGGATGGGATAAAAACATTGAGATTAACAGATTGAATGGAAAACGTACTGTATTACTTTGCAATTTGTTCCATTATATGAAAATCCCAATTATCAATTACATTGAATACTTGTGTCTTTGTCTTTCCACTGTTAATGTCTAGAGTTTATCATAAATACTACTTAAATACTTAAAATCAGTTTTAAGAATACAAACAGATATAAAAAACTAAGAAACCTCAAACTTCTAATGCATTCATTTTGTTTTATTCCAAGACCGGTAATATACATGCTCCATTAGTCTCAAACATGAATATTCTTTCTTTCTGAGTGCTTTGGTTCCCATGTGGTTGGAAAAGCTTATTGTTGCTTCACGGTGGTTTCCGGCTTAGCGCTCGTTACTCATGGAGATGTATGTGTGCTTGTGACTGACAGCAGCATTCAGCAGGAGACATTATGATCCGGAACATTCAGCTGAGGCATGCTGGGAAATACACATGTGCCGTGCAAACGAAGGTGGACAGCATCTCCATCGCTGTGGATCTAGTTGTCAGAGGTAAGCCCCAACTGGGAACGGCTTACTGCTGCCTACACCTTCATTTCCAATGGACATACTTCAACCCAAATGACCACTGACAGCTCACTTCTGCTACCTATGTATAGGTCTTTCCTGAATTATTGATGTGCTGTGAGGGAGCAGAGTGTGCCCTGGTCAAGCCGACTTGGAAAAGATTGGGAGAATGTTTCGATCAGGAGTGCCATCTAGCACAGATTTATCTGAATGAGAACGGTTTATTAAATGCAGAGAAAAGTTAGAAGATATCAGAATTTGACATATATTGAAAACAAGAAACAGTTACATAGAAATAATAGAGTAACTGAAAGTTTGTGATTGTATAAACAACATTGTGTGTTTTAAGCTCAAAAGTAGCGTTATAGTCCTTGGGCAAGACACTTAACCCCACTTTGCCCAAAACCCCCACTGAAAGATCAAGGCTATGCTCACAGTCAGAGAGCAGCTGTCCTCCTGTGGACTCACCACCTGCAGAGGGTCAGTGAGGGGCTGGTGCTATGAGACTTGGGTGGCATCTCTGACTGCCACCCCCCTGACCCAGAAATGGATTAAAGGGAAGAAAATGGATGGATGGATGGAGTAGCGTTATACTTACAGCTGCTGCAAGATTTAAAAAAAGGCCATTTGTATTCTAGGTCAGGTTAAGTCAGGTAAAGCCTCAGCTTGTCAAAGACTTAAGAGGAATCAATAAACCTTAAAATGGATCCTTTAGCAGCAAGAGGATAAAGTACATTTATGTCCTCTTTTCAGGAGACATTTAGCTTGCATCCTGCTCAAAAGAACTAACCAGATCCAGCCCCTGTCATGTACAGTACATAATTATCATAACATAGTATGCTATAGGAACTGTTGCTAGAGACTTGGCGTTGATTCTCCAATTCAAATGTAGTTCTGCATTAGGAGTCATGGGCTGTTACGAACACACACTGGGGGCGGCACATTCTCCTGTTGAATTTGGAAATTTTCAGTCTAATTAGATGCAGAAGCCTCTGAAGGTTTCACAGTGAGTTGACTTTGCCGTGCTCGCCGCAGGTGTAAAACGCTCTGTGATTTACATGCCCTACTCCTGTTCTCCCCATCTCTGTCCTTTCTGCTACCTGCATATGCCTTTTTTCCCCAGGTCCCCCGAGCCCCCCCACCAGCATCAACGTTGAAGAAATCACTGACACCACGGCGTCTCTGTCCTGGAGGCCTGGTCCTGATAATCACAGCCCAATTACCGCATACACCATCCAGGCCCGGACACCCTTCTCCCTGGGGTGGCAGGCTGTCACCACAGGTAGGTCCCTCCACCCAGCCGTGCATGACACCAGTGCGAGGAGGTGGCAGCACGGTCTCCGCCGTCTCCCCTCCGCTTCCCCAGCTCAATATTGACGATGTAATTTTTATCCCAGCACCGAATAGTCCGCAATTGCAAAGTGACCATTGACCGCCATTATATCGCACTCCTGGGAGTCCTGAAGCATGGATCTCATTGCGGAGATGAAGCTTGTTGTTAGCAGTGTAATGCGATAGTGTACTTAAGTGATAGCACTGTAGATAGTGGTGTAATTGTGTCCGCCTCCTGTTTAATGGAGCCTTCCCCACTCGTCTGATTGCTGTATTGTGCATTTATCCCACACTATGTATCTTTCTATTGATATTTTGTATGAGTTATGAACACTTTAGATAGTTTTAGTGGGCTCATTGATTCACCTCCCCAGAAACGGAGTGCTTTGTGACCTTGCTGGGAGATAGAGCCCCTAGCTGAGAAGAAAAACAGTTGCTACCAGTAAAACAATCTTCTGAGCATAAAAATCTAGCAACAATTGTGGACTCACAATTATTCATTGTTTAGTCATTGAGACACAAAAGCACTGGCCATTGCTCATATTCACCTATAAAAAGAATCTTGCTGGGATATGATTGTGCCATTCTTATATAATCAATCAATATAATCCCACATCCCCATTACCCGTCTAACCGACCACCCGACAGGCCGTGTGAACATAAAACTTTAAAGTAACACTTATAGTTCTATGGACACTTTGCTTTTTTAAAAATTAGTTTAGGTTAAAGAGGCTACAGTAAGCATAGACCTTACTTCACTTCTTAAGGATGCATTTTCTATTGTGATGCAGAACAGCACGCACTGACAACATGACAGAGTGGCTCATATTAAGAGATCGTCTGTATGCAGTGTGTCCTTGTAAAGGATTACACTGTCCTCGGAACCTGTGGAGTGGTCATACTGGCCTGTCAGAGAGACCACCAACTTCCACTGAGAGCTCCTCCACGAGTCTCGACACTGATGAGGCCTCTACTGTGTGTGTGCGTTTGTTTGTGTGTGTGTGCGTGCGTGTGTGTGTATTGCAGTTCCCGAGGCGGTGGGGGGCCATCGGCTGACAGCCACCGTAATAGACCTGAGCCCATGGGTAGAGTATGAGTTTCGGGTCTTGGCCAGCAATGGTATTGGGACCGGCGAGCCAAGCAAACCCTCCAAACAAGCCCGGACAAAAGGCACCTGTATGTACCACAAGTTTCTTCTTTTTTATAGATTAGCTAAAAAAAAAGCTCACATAATAGTCATAGATTTTAAAATGTCTCTGTATCTTTTTTGCCAAAAGAATACACTTGGAAGCATGATTGATTACCTCCCTTTTTGACATTGAAAATAGTATTTTGTCTTCACTCTTAGCAAGCTTTCATCTGCACTAACCTAACTCATACTTGATATAGAGAGGGCCATCCTTGTTCGTAATTTGACAAAAAATCTCCATCTTGATGCAAAATGTTTGAAAGTGTTACAGTATCAATTTATTTCCATGAAGTGCAGTTGACACCTGCATTAAGCATATGTTGTTTTTGTAATTGTATGTGTCTATACATTGACAAATCTAATGACAACCTAGTTTCCTGGTCATTTTCAGTCCATCAGATTACATAATATAATCAAGGGTAATTTATCATAATTACGTCTTTAGTTATCATTGCTTTACCATCTCATAGCAAGTCTGGTTGTTTACTCAACATCAACATAATCGAGTAAAGATGTGTTACTGTCAATATTATCATCACTTTTGATTATTGGATAACATGTACTGTTTGTAAATGCTAAGTAAAAAACAGCTTCTTGTGATATTTTAGTACGTAGTGCAAAATAAATCTATAGAAGTGTGAATGCGGCCCAGATGGCACATGTGAAACAGGATTTGAGGATCTTAGTTCCAGAATGCCACATTGGTTTCCCAGGCTTCACAGACATGTATTACATGTGCCGTCTATATGTTGTGTGTCTAATCAACATGTCTGAGCTGCTGTTTGTGCCTCCACAGCCCCCAAGGTGACCCCAGCCAACGTGAGCGGAGGAGGAGGCAGTCGCTCAGAGCTCGTCATCACATGGGAGGTAATCCACGCACAGAGAGCAGCATATCACTGTGACACTGCTCGTTAATCCAGACTTTTCCTGACGATGCCCAGAGAAATAAACAACAAACTCCCCGCTTGAAATTGTGCCTGTTTGTTTCACGGTTATTTGTGAGTCATATGGTGGTTAGGTGGGTGTTAAGTCCTAGTCCAAGTTCAGTATTGCTCTTTTAGATCAAAGTTTTGAATTGTATTATTGTTTTATATGTGTCTCTGCATGTGTGTGTGCACGTGTCCAGGATATTTAGGGACATTTAAGGACAGTGATCACCTTGCTCCCTATGGACCTATTGCTCCTATGTGTTCGATTATCTGATTTGCTGTTGGGGAATTGGCAACCTTGTGAAGTCCTCCATAACTGCTGTTGTAATTTAGAGCTAAAAAGAATACTATTAATTAAATGGAATATTATGCATGTACATAATATTCAATGTTATAAAATTAGTAGTGAAGCAGGAGTGTCCGGTCACGGACATTTTAGTAGGCTTCTGTGATTATTCTTTTTTGGATCAGTAGTATGACTGTTCCCAAAATGGGTCATGGTTTAACACAAAAGTACCAACTGCAGGATAGCCTAGCTTTAACTTGTATCTAGTGAGTACCTAACCTAGCTGTCCTATTAGAATCATTTTTTTGTTATATTTTGCATACAAGAAAGAGCCCTGCCACTCACTATTTGATTGGGCTGAGAGCTGATTGGCTGAGTGAGGGTGGACCTCTCTTTTTCACTTGTCTGTCTGAAAAAGAATATCTGTTTTAGAGCCAGAAACCTTTTGGATGCATTTTATTACATAGTTAAATATGTTTGTCTTTAGGAGTTAGTTTCTAGTGGTTATTAATGGCTGTTATGTTCACCCTCTTTTTGTGTACATGTAAGCTCCTGAATACCACAATGGGTTCAAAACTAATTTGAACCCATGCCAGTTCTGCAGACTCTCACAGCGGTCCCTCTGACCCAAGCACAATATACAAACGCATCTTCCAGCGCCTCCGTGAAATGTATAGTGTTTTATTTTGAGCAGACAGGCAATAACTGCTGCTGTCAGCGAGCTGCAGAGCACTTTGGAGGTTTAGATAATTAAATTGAATAAATCTATTCCAAACTTTTGTTCCCATACCCTTTTTCCTTCAATTTACACAGTTGCTTTCTCATATCAAGCCCCTTTCCAAAACGCTTCCATTTCGCCAGGCTGCTCGGAACCATTGGCCCCTGCTGCGACATGCTTCACAGAGCGCGTGTTGACGATTCACAACCAAAGAGTTCAATTAAATATTCTCTTGTGTTTAACAAAGACACTTTTTTGCAGCGCTTTGGATTTTCCTCAAGTCCTTTGCTTTTGAAAGAGTCAAATGAGAAGAGGTTATTTTTAGTCCAACTAGGTCTGTTCACACACACACATACACACACACTCAATAACTTTCAGAGTCTGACTGGTTCCCTTGTAAATGTTCAACGGTCCCTTTTAAAGCAGTGGGGTGTGTGTGGTTGTATCCCAACAGGACGAAACATACTCAAATATACTATATATCTTATGCAGTCGGTACATTCGAGCATGGGTGGCTGGAGCAAATCCCAGCAGAGAGGGTTACGAGATGTACCGTGGTCAGTGGCCAATTATCCTAATAGTATCTTTCACCACATGGAATGATAAGAAAGTAGTCTCATGTTATTTGCAGAAGACACGACTGCATTATTAGAATAAACCACTAAAGCAGACATGTCCAAACCAAGGCTCGAGGCCATATGTGTCAATTCATGTGGCCCTCTGTCTTGCCGATCAAAGTAGCCACAAAGTTGTGGTCATAAACACAAGATCACAGTGTCATCCAGCCAACTTCAGCTCCTCTGGAATCCAGCTGTTGACTTTATTTGTGTACACAGACCCATTTCTGTTTATGCCCATACCCCATTGTAAAGCTCAGAATCCAGCCAAAACAGTTTTACAATCCGAGTTGTCAGCCCCTGGACAGTACTGGTGACCCATCCATTCATCCATCCATTTTCTTCCCCTTAATCCATTTCTGGGTCGGGGGGGTGGCAGTCAGAGCTGCACCCAACTCACAGAGCACCAGCCCCTCACTGATCCTCCTGCAGGTGGTGAGTCCGCAGGAGCCGTACTGGTGACATAAAGTTGTAGAAGCTTTCAACTCACATTAAATACGTTTGTTCAGTTTGATTATGGATACAAAATATTATTGTTGTTGCTGTCATAAGAAGTCAGTTTTAATGAAATGCTCAGATCATTATTTGGTACCTTTTTACTGGCCAACCTCATGCATATGTTTGCTGTATATATAATGTCACCACTTCTAAACACCATCATGAGAAAATAATCCAGCCATAGTTGATATGTTCTGACAGAGAAAATGTTTGTAACAGTTTTGGTTTCATGTTGACTGGCTCAGGGATTACAGATGAATTAGATCTAAACTACGACGAGAAATCTGACTTTTAACAGTATTTTTCTCCTACTTTCCACCACAATGTTATAGGCTCTTTTGAACAATGTCACATAAACTGAACCTATACAGTCTAAAAGATTTTTTAAAAGCTTCTCCTGAGTTCAACATTCTGTGAACTGTGAATAACACGAGAGGAAGAGCTTTGTTGTATCAAGGTAATGGTTCCTAGCTTGTTGTGACTGAACAAAAATAGCTGGGACAAAGGTCGACTTGGAGATCTTTTAACAAAATGAAAAGCCTGTATGAATAGATGAGAGTTGTTATGAAGGTGGACAAGCGCTCAGTGGAGGTTTCATGCTGTGGCTCCACACAATGGGCTATTAGCTCGTTTGTGCTTTGTGTATGAACAAAGCATGCTTTAACTTTTATGAAAAACGACTCAATGAGATTAGGAATCTCTTCCTTCCAGAACACAGACGCACAGAAGCACTCATAATAAGGTTTACTTATAAATAAATGCATTAGCTCTATTAGATGTTGTCACAAGTCATTAGAGTCTTTGTAATGTATAAATTAATCAGGAAACTCTGGGTTTGTTTGAGTTATGGACTTTAGGATTGTTCAAAACACATGTGAACTTTGTAATATATTTCATTTATTCCTGGAACAATACAAAACAGTTATTTTGATATAAAACACAGAAGTCTGATAGATTGTTTCTGTTTTGAGGTGAGCTTGTATTGTGTGTAGAAATGTGGTCATTCTTGCTTTAGCCTCTGTGCTGTCAGAATGTGTTGCATTTCTCTGGAAACAAGGAGTCTTGCATCTATAGCCTGTTTGTCCATGGGAGCAGATCCCTCTCTCAATATGGTCTTTTTATAGAGGTGTCTCCTTTTTTCCCCAGTGTTTTTGTAGTCGTTCCTCGCCGATGCAGGAAGGTCTAATACAAGTCTATGGTTTAAGGACAGTGATGATCTTGAATATTTAAGGACATTTGTGAATATTTATTCACATTTATGGACATTAATCACCCCACTCCCTATGGACCAATGGCTCCAATTCGTGTGTTATTATTGCCTGTGTTCGAACTGTTTCTCTGATCTGTTGTTGGTAAATTGACAACTTTGTAAAGTCCTCAAGATGACTGTTGTTGTGATTTAGGGCAATACAAATTCATTTTGAATTGATTTAAAATTAACCACCACCATGGAAAATTACTGTATGTGTGGATTTGATTATTATATAATTCAATAATGAAGTAATTACATTTGTGGCACAACTCCTGGAGAATATAATGCAGTGAAAATAAGAGGATTAGTGTGTTGTAAGCGCTGTCCAGCCTGAACTCAAAAGCTCCTGTCAAATAGATCACTAGAGCTGAAGAAGCAGTGGCCGGCTTTATCATTTCTCACTCAGGTAAATATCTTGTGTTTCAGCCTGTTCCAGAGGAACTGCAAAATGGCCCAGGGTTTGGGTACGTGGTGGCATTCCGTCCCAATGGCGCCCCCGGCTGGATGCAGGCGGCAGTGCCATCAGCAGAGGCCTCCAGATATGTGTTCAAGAACGAGAGCATCCTGCCATTCTCCCCGTTCCAGGTGAAGATGGGAGTCTACAACAACGAGGGAGAGGGCCCCTTTGGACCAGTCATTACTATTTACTCCGCAGAGGAAGGTACTTACATGTGTGCACAGTATTATTGTAGTTTAGGGAATGTATGCCAGTTACTTTTAAAACTGTGAAGAATAATATCTTAGTTAATATCTTAAAATATAAAATTTACAGGTGAAAAATGTCAAAATCCTTATGAACACATTGAGGTACTTTCACAGTGTCATCCAGCCAACTTCAGTCATATACTGACATCTGTTTTTTTTATTTTGTCTCAAAATTCCATATGTAGCTGTGGTGTGAATCATTATGGACATATTAAACCACATTTTTACGATGCATTATTAACGATGCTCAAGACCAATCACCATTGTGTTGAGCAGTCACCACAAGTCAGAGCATTACTTTATTTTTTTGTGACGCAATAACGTAACATCCAGTAAATTGTGGCGATTACCTTAGCACTGTGCTAGGACTGCAAATGTGCACCGGCAATGTACCTTTTTAGTTGTACATAAGATACCTCTAATGTTACTATAGCTATCTTACTGTACATCTTATATCTTTTATATCTTACATCTTATATCTTTTATACTGTTTAGCTGTTTGCAAATTTCCGAACAAATTTCACACCCTGAGTGATCTTACTGAGGACAAATGTAACGGGTAAATTGGCAGATCATCAAGTTGCATCTGATCTTATCTTGACAAAGTTTAAGCATTCAAACACTGACACTGCTGAGCTCCTCTGAAAGGTGAGTTCTCTGAAACAGCAGAAAAGAAACCTCAGACGACCCGCTGTGTCTCTGCTCCTTTGGACTTTACATTCACTGGCATCATCCTGTTGTGTACAGAGCCTGGCCGGGCGCCCACCAGGGTCCGTGCCAGGAGCCTGTCTGCCTCCGAGGTGGAAGTCCTGTGGAAGGCCCTGCCCTGGAACGCCAGTAAGAAGAGAGTATTGGGCTACGAGGTGAGTGCGTATTCTCCCGCTTGTGTGTGCACCACGACATGCTAACTAATGCCTTCAATCTTGTCCTGTTGTATTATTGATGAAGGTTTGGGACTTGTGGACCCTGGGCGTAGCAGATAATGGCCTGCTGCATGCATAATTTCCAGGTCTAGTCCCGTGCCTGTGGCTTAAGCTGCGTTCCTTGTGTTGCTTACCTAAGTACTGCACCTTTGCTGATTAGCTCACTGATGCAATGCTCTGGAGGGCTTCAACATTTAGCTCTTGTTCCATACAACAATGTACTCCCACAAGCAATCTCTGGCTGACTTCACTTTGGTCTTGTCCTTTTGCAATCGCCCCCGCTGAAAACAAACAGACGTCATTCACATAGCAGCAAAAGAAAGTGACAACATCATAAATTGTTTGCTATACTCAAAGTTCCGGCGAGAGCTGCGAGCGCTTGTATCGTGTTCTTGTTAGGAGAGAGATTATATTTGTGCTGTCAGGGCATGCAGGGGCTTTGAGTCCTGGAAACAAACAAACTGTTTTTTAAGGTGAGATGGACAACGGTGTCTTTGATGTCTTTGTTGTTGTGTGTTTTGTTGTCAGTAAATATCAGTACTACAATAGCATTTAAAAAGCTCTTTGTGTGAGTTTGGTCCAGAACCAGATCCTTTATTTGTCCCACAGTGGGGAAATTTAAGTGTTGCGTCACAAGTAGGAATGAGGATAGGTGAATAACGCTATTTACACAAATAAAACGTGCTATATACTTATAGTTACAAACGCTAACTTACTTATTAACTTGATTTTAACACTTTTAACACTCAATAGCATGATACCACTTTTCTAATGTTTTGTTCATGCTTTTTAATGCTTTTCATTTTGTTATTGCATGGTTGTTTCTATCATGTATACAATGTAATTGTTGTAAATTCTGCAATTGATTCCTGTTTATAAGCTTGAAATAAATCCAAGCAATCAATGTTTATTATTTCATTCTAAAGCACTTTGGTCCATAATAAAAGTTTGATTGATTGATTTATTGTTAGTTGTATGTAAACATATGCCTCAAGAACTCAAAAGCTTTTTCATTGTTTCAATTTTTATTATTTTTTTATTATTGTACTGTTTATGCTATTACTATTAGTATATCAATGCATCATTTCATGTTAGTACAGTTATAAGCCTTAATTTAAAAACACACTTCATATGTATATGTATATTTTACATATGTACAGGTATATATATTAATTTGATTCGAGCTAGATTTTAGCTGCCGACACAGCCGCAGACACTTTGGTTTCTTGGTTTTCATGTTTAAAAGCTTTGGTTTTGTTGTTTCAGCTCAAGTACTGGATCAAAGGTGAAAAGGAGGACGCTGCCAATGTGCAAAGGACTGTGGGTAACCAGACGTACACGGTGATCCGAGGACTCAAAGGCAGCGCTACATACTCCATCACCGTCAGAGCCTACAACACGGCGGGGACAGGACCCGCCAGCTCCACTGTCAACGTCACCACCAAGAAACCACGTATGTTGACTTTAGTTTAGTATTTATTAACAGAAACATTTACTATACAAATAATATAACTAATACTGTAAACTTGCTCCATCTGTGCTGTACCACAATTTATGCAAGTAAGTTTTTAATGCAAGTGCTTATTAGTTTTACTAGTTTTATGTAACAGGAATGAACAAAGTAATAGTCTAATATCAGCCCTAAATTAATTAATGAAATGTAATACCCAAACTCCTTCAATCAAATCCCTTGTTTTGTTTGTGTCCATTTTGATGAATGGTTTTGTTGCTGCGCTCTTTCTGTCATTAAGTAAAATTACTTTCAAATTATTGTTTATGACATGAAGCCTTTGCTTTTGAATGTAAAAGGTGATTGTGAACATAAACAATTAACTGACCTAATTGTGTGACAACTATTTGTTCTGAATTGATGAGAGAAAAGTGAAAGGACCGCCCTCACTCAGCCAATCAGCTCTCAGCCCAAAGCATCAAATGGTGACTCACAGGGCTCTTTCTTATGAGAAGGCCAAAGATAACATGTCGTCTGACTTAAACATTTTACTTCACAAGATTATTTTTGTTGTGACAAACGTGGATTTCTTATGAAAAGAATAAGTCAGGTTTCTCGACTTTAAACTCTTCGTTTATAATATGTGCATTTAGTGATTTAATAAAGTAATTTAAATTCCAATCCAACTTTTGTTGCTAGAATCTTCATGTGACTTTTAAGCACTGATTCCTGATGCAAACCGCCTGATGGGTTTAGCAAGAAACAGTATAAACTCTGTGTTACGTATGACAACTTATCTGTGTATCTGTTTTATCTAAACAAATGTGTGGTGCTTTGTTTTTGTTTGTGATATAACAAAAAAGATAAGAGCCAAGACCAGCTAAATTTCACATAACAAACTGGCAACCCGCATGAGAGCCTCATTCTGTTCTCTGATTGGATACTTGAAAAATGATGTCCAAATATGATTTGTAAGCCATGCAAGGCAAGTTTATTTATATATTTATTTGTAGCGCAATTCATACACAAGGCAACTCAAAGTGCTGAACAGAATAAGTTATTTGTACATGTTGACCTAATATCTGGGACACATATAAAAGGTGTAATTTGAAATGTAAATGTTAAACACTGCCTTTAACAAATGTTTAGCCTCTGAGCTCCTTCTAAACACGTGGATGAATTGTGCGTCCTCAGCTCCCAGCCAGCCTCCCGTCAAAGTGATGTGGAACACGTCCAACTCAAAGATCGTTGTGAACTGGGAGCAGGTGAAGGCCCTGGAGAATGAGTCAGAAGTGACGGGATACAAGGCGAGGCTTCAGCTTTCTCTTCACATTCTGTTTGAAGTGTTTGTCAGATTAGATTAGATTAGAGCTCTCTTAAATCTTCTCAATCTGCTTCATTCACATTTCAGGTGTTCTACAAGAAGAACCGGCACAGCAGCCCTCACATCATGGAGACCAACACCACATCGGTGGAGCTGGCGCTGCCCACAGACGAAGACTACATCATTCAGATCAAGCCGTTTGGAGAAGGAGGCGAAGGCAGCAGCACGCGGCAGATCACCATCCCCAGAGTCCCAGGTCAGTGCCCAAACATACTGTGTTACCTTTTGAATAATACATTTTTACCAATTTATGCAACCATGATTATTATGGTTTGAGCTTTTTCAAGAAATGTCAAGTTTATGTAGTTACTTTTCTATATCAAATGTTGATTCTAGCTTGAGTATAAAAAATCTTGGCTCAAACATGGCGCACATTTCCTCATTCACTATAACGTCCTGTGAAATATGGTGAAAAGTGAATAAATTATGCATTTATGGTTAATCTGGTAATGAATCCAAAGCTTGGGTAGATAACTGTCAAACCTCAAAACACATACGCTGTAATAAAATCCATCTCACTCGTTCCAGGCGCTTAAACAATGTACCTCAGCTCTAATTTTGGTTTGAAAACGTGAAATTACTATTCAAACATCTCCATCTAGTGATATTAGTGGGAAATAGGATTGTTTTTTTTGCCTTATTTACCAAGTTTTGAAGGACATGGGGAAATTCCAGTCAAAAACTCTCAGCTCGAAACATATTGTGTAAAAAAAAAAACTTAATCAAAAATTCATTCTACTTTTTTATTTGGTAACTATTTGAATAACCATTTTAACCCCCTCCCCTGGAAGCCTCAGTCCTAGATCCACTCCCTGTCTGTCCATGGGAGCGGAACCCTTCCTCATTATGGGCCTCCCCAAAGTTTCTCACAGTTTTTCCAAAAAGGTTTCCTTTTTGAGTTGTTCCTCCTTGCTTATGCAGGAGGCTCTAAGGACAGTGATGATCCGGGACATTAACAACAATGGATATTTACTAACATTTATGAACATCTCTATGGACCAATGGCTTCTATGTGTTTGTTATTATTGTATTTCCTGTGTTTTGAACTGTTTGATTCTTTAATCTGATGTTGTGGATTTTGGGTTTTACAAAATTAATTTCATTTAATTTTTGATACCCTTTTTGTTATTGTTTTTAACCATTTATTGTTGTAAATGGTCAAAAAATGTCCTGCAGGTAAAACGTCATAGAAGCACTGGTCACAGAACGGACAAATGGATGTGATTGATTAACCTTTTATTAGTTCCTGATAGCTCTGCCCTATCACTGCCGCTAACTCCATACAACTTAAACCATCTAGGGGCGATATACATGTGAACAAACTTATAACCTTTACCATGGATAGTAAGTAAGTAATCTTTATTTACAAAGCGCACTTTCACAGACCAAGATCACCTAAAGCGCTTTACAAAGTTCAGAATTGTTATATACATTGCGATATATCGGTCTATTAATATTGAAGCATTTACAGCTACAGTAGCTAAGAAACATAGCAGCTACTTCTATCGTATACTTTGTGTGCTCCCTGTGCGCTATTACTACTGTCCTGTATGTGCGCTGCAACATTGACATTTCCCCACTGCGGGACGAATTGGGGTTCTCTTATCTTATCTTACATATTTAAAATACACCTGTTTATATTCTGATGCATAGGACATGAACATGCAGTCACAAGTTACCGCTACTTAAAATGGGTTTTGCTCTCTGGCTGTTTTAAAGTTATTGCAGCCTGTTTTTGACTCATAAACGCCAACGCTGTAAACCAGACATTGTCGTGTTGTAAACGGCATGAACCAAATCTCGGGATGACTGTGTAACAAAAGCTCCCAGTTGACGGGAGTAAATAATCCGTGTCGCCGTGTGCTGAGTGGCTTTCATCACTTCGTAGAGAATTAGGGGATGATTACGAGCTTTATGAGACGTGTGTATAATCAAAACACAACATTTGGACATTTACACTTTGCAATCGCATTCTATTGTTGCTATAGTAACTTAAGAATCTCTGTTTTCCTGCGTTGTGGGTTTTTGCTGACCCCTTTGTAGTCTAGTCTTTTTGTTGCGAGTGCTTGTCCTAGTTTTTTTCTGTCCTGATCTTTTCTTTATTTATAGAGTTCTTTTTTGTTCAAACTCAGTCTTGTGTTATTTTGAGAGTGAGAAAAAAATATTAGCCTCAGAAAGAAATGTTAAAGTGACGAGTGTTGCCCTTGCTGTAGTTTGGCTGGAATGGTTTGGTCCTTGTTTGCTATCATTACAAGTATGCCTTGACATAATGTATACCTTTTGAGGAACTATTTTGATCACATGACTGTTTGCTATCTAAAGCTAATTTTCTATCCACAAAACATACACATAATAAAATACATGTAACTAGTTTGTCAACCTCAAAACAGTTTGCTTCTATCTGGGCGGCACGGTGGCTGAGTGTATAGCACTCTTATCAAGAAGGTCCCGGGTTCGAATCCCAGGTCTTAATGCCTTTCTGAGTGGAGTTTACATGTTCTCCCCGTGCCTGCGTAAGTTTCCTCCGGGTGATTTGATCACATGATTTTACTGTTATACTTGATACTCTTTCTGTTTTAAAAGAACCTACTGATAAGAATCAGACTCAGGCAAATTGGGATCTTTGTACGACAAAGCCTCCTGGCTGGTTTATTCACAAAATGGTCGTTAATTTCAGACAGAACAAAAGACACAGATACATTATATATGGAAATCTACGTCATCATAGAAAAGGCCAAACCTTCGGCACCAAATAGCCTAAACAACGAAAGTCTCTGTGGTCCTTGAGACCTCCACAAGGCCAGGTTATTAATACTATTTTGTCTTGCATTTGTCCACCTGTGCAGTACATAGGTCACTGTTTACCACACCCTCCCATTTTATCACATAAACACATGTGATAATAAAAATACAAAAACAACAAAAATAAATCAATCAATCAACAAAAACTTACAATCATGAAATCAAGTAAAGTGAATAACTGATTCTTAACTTGCAAAAAAATACATACAAAAAATAATGATGATAAAAAATAATCACTTTCACTATATAATCATGAATTTAGCTGATTTTATAATTCAAACAATAACAAAAATCTCTATTGGACACCAGAACCAAGCTGATATGAGTCATAGAGCAGGCGGGACTGAGCATTAAGAATCAAATATAAAATTAATTACTCACTTCATCCTAATGTGAAGTCTTAATATTAATTGCTACATTAACCTAAACGTTTTGATTTTACACTGTACACCTGTACAGCTATTATCTTATACTATTTTAAAACACCAATATGATTATTTTGCAAAGCTATGTACAATTTCGGTTGAATTTGCATCTTAGTGGAACATATAGCAAATAAATCTCACTATCGGACTCCATCTCGTCCTCTTCTTCTAGACAGTAGTTTACACTCATCAGCGGCATTGTGTTAATATACTGTTTGGAAATTGCAGCTGCAATCAAACGCTCAATCAGATGTCTAAGGCATGGAACTACACAACATCCTCCCAGGATTAAAACTGTGAACACAATTAGGCAAGTGCTTAAAATTGACATTATTATGGGGGTCAAGGATCCGAATAGACTATTGAACCAGGCTATCCAAGTGCTATCTTGTGTTCCTGAGTTCTTTGTGACTTCCTCGGACAAGAGTCTAAGGTTATTTATGGCTCTGGAGATGCTACCGTCTGGCGCAGTATTATTGGGAATAAACGTACAGCATTTGTCTTGGAAAAAATGGCACACTCCCGAGCTACTTGCTAGAATCATGTCTAGGGCTAATCTATTTTGCCAGGCCATCAATGAGGTTGGTGCCAATTGCTCTGAAATGCTCTCAAGTGCGCCAATTGTATAGTTGATGAATCTCTGTTGGTTGTAATATATGTAATTGATCCAGGCTACATTCATGTTAGAGGTGGGCCAGCTAAACAAGATTGAGGCTAGTCCCCTAGTTATTTCATTTTGAGCCTTGAATTCATCCGGCACACCTACAGGAACCCCGGCCCAATTTAACCATACTCCCTTGTCAAATGAGCCTAAAGGCCTGTCTGTCTCTCTGAGGGGCAATACACTACGTTTGCTACGTGGATAAGAATCAAGCAATTTAGTTTTAAGCATGGGTTCTGACTCGTCTATGAGTGACATTGGAGCTAGAATGAATGGAACGATGAGGGAAACGACAGCACACTGTCCTTTCCATGATTTTGGCAGAATAGCTCTTAAAGTTAGATCACCACACAGCCACCACACTACCATGGGAATAATATATATTAAATTACTATATTAAATGATTTTATTGTAGTTCAATGGCACAATTGAGCGCTCCCATTAATGCAACAATCCGCCATCTTGGATATACTGTACCTTCCAGATTTTATTATAGCAGGAACCTATGCAAAGATCGGAAGTTTACCTCATTTTGGTGATTTTGTGCAAACTTCCTTGAATCAAAATGGCTTCACTCTCCATTTCATATGTTCTTGAAAATGGTCATGTGTACATAAGTGTTCTTGTACGCACTGAACTCTACAAATATATTAATGTTACTTGAATTGGGTGGAAGGTTTGTGTGGACAAAGCAACATTTTTCTCACTTTTTTCCCACTGTTTATTCATTTATTTATCTATTTGATTTGTTAATTTCAATTCACCCTCGATGTGTGAAGGAGAGGTTTTGCAGGTCTTTCCTTCCTGCTGCTGTCAGACTGTACAACGAGAATGTGTAACAGGAACTGCTGAGTCTGCACAAGTGTTTCTGATAATTCACTAGTAACTTTGTCACTAGTCACTTTACCTGTTATCAGTACTACTACAGTACTACATATCTGATATTTACTGTTATCAGTACTACTGTATTATTTCATATCTGATAATTCTGCCTTTCACCGTCACTTTACCTGTTGATATCTTACAGTATTATTCATATCCATCTGATAATTCTCCCATTCAAGTCACTTTACCTGTTGATATTATTTCTGATGCTTATTCTGTTCATATTCTCATATTCTCCGCTGCTAATCTATAATATAGACATCTGTAAATACTCCGAACCAAGTGCAATTGTAGCCCAGATTTTCTTATTTTATTTTATTTTATCTTAAATTTATTGTCTATTATCTTAAATAATAGACTTTGATGTGTGCAATCTGAGAGCTCTTATTTCCTTTCTCTGCTGTAATGTGCGCAACGATGACACTGACATTTCTCCACGGTGAGACTAATAAAGGTTTATCTCATCTTATCTTATCTTATCTTATTTCCAACGCAAGAGGGTCTAAAGACAGTGTTGATCCAGAACGTTTGTTAACTTTTATGGACATTGGTCATGCATCCCACTCCTATGTGTTTGTTATCCTTGTATTTTCTGGGTTTAAACTGTTTGAGTGTCGTCGGTGAATTGACAACTTTATAAAAGACTGCTGTTGTGATTTAGGGCTGTACAAAAAAGAATGAATTGAATTGTATTTAATTGTTTTTCTTTTAAAATGATTGTCATGTGAATATGTTGCAGGCCCCAACGCAGTGGGCTCAGCATCGAAGGTCTCCACACTGTCGGCGCTCAGCACAATAGCACTGTCGCTCACAGCACGGACATCTTTATGACAAACAGCTCCCAGAAGACGGTGCATCTGACGTGGAACCGGCTCTGAAGAGGAGCACACTGGGGCTGTACCGTGGTGTAACTAGATCCATTCATTTAGATTTTAGACGCAGAGAGGAGACAGCAATGAGAAGAAAGGCAATGCACCATGGAGCCACCGGTGGAGTCCCCCGTGAGCGGCTGGGATACGGAACAGAGACTGACTGATGTCCTGACTACGTTGTTACCAAAGCAGCTTTCGTAAGAAAAATAAATAGAACAATGTCTTATGCATCTTTTTGTACGGTACATGGAGCTTTTTATAGATCTGTTTTCTTTTTAAATGCGTCCTGGCTTATCGGAGCGAGAACAATTACTTGCATGAGGTGGCAGTCAAGAATAGGACAGGAAAAGTAATTGGAATTTGCAATTTCTTTGTTGTCTTGAAAGTAGATTTATGTTCCAGTGAATAAACTATAGTTATTTATTTTCTGCCTTAGTTTAGCAAAATATTTATTTTGTTTTAAACAAGCTGGGAATGGACTGAACCTCTAAGTTTGAGGACCGTTTGGATAGATATGTCGAGGTTAAACTAACAAATGCTGATCATTGTGTTTTGTTACTGACGCCATATCATTTATAGTACTTCAACATAAATGAGACGGTATTTCTACAAAGAAGGACTTTATTAACATTAAGATGCAGCGGGCTAATACTGTTTTTCTATACTTTCTAAACAGGATTATGTTTTCAAACTCACCAATCAAAATAGCAGAACTCATAATCTATAATCCAAGAAGCCCTTTGCAGACATTGTTCTCTGAATTTGTTCAGAATGGTATCCCTGTCATCAGAAAATATTATGTTTTTACTGGTAGCCATGCCTGTTTTTAACTCTCCTATACATTAGTCTGACCAGTGCAATTGTATGTTGAAGAATGCTTAGATTAAAACATGTTGCATTCTCAAATATCACCTCTAGATGTCATCAAAGGGCTTCACACTGCACCTCCGAGACTTTGTGTTCAGATATACTAGACTAAATCTGGGGTTCCAAACCTCTTGTGTTTCATAAATATGATGCAGTTTTGAGTTTGACCAGAAATAAAGTAAATGAACGATTCATCTTTTTGATCTTTTGGGCTGAGAGCTGATTGGCTGTTGTTTCCCTTGGCTCTCTGTTTTCCTTCTCCCTCAAAAGCTGATCTAAAGATATGACAGAGGCCAACAAATATATGTAATTGAAAACTAATTATTTAGAGAGCAAGTGACTAGTTACATGGATTTTACGTTGCTCAATTTTGTGTGACTTGAAAGTTCAGTAACCCAGCTTTAATGGAAAGAAAATCACCCCTGATTTTGGAGTCGTAATTCGAAACCGATCCATACACCCTGTTGTAATCATGTCCTTTAAGACAAAACTCAAATGATGTGTGTATTTATTTATTTATTTATTGTGCATAAGAGCATAAGTCTTGACATTGTTTTTGTCTTAAATGCCATTTGAAGTGCACTGTCCCTGTTTTTGGTTTCTCTCCCCTATGTCTCAAGCTCTTCTTATTTGCCTTCTGTGTGCCTCATCATATGTTAAATCCTCAGGTCTTTGATAGCCTTAACTTCTCATGTGTACATAACATTTAGGAGATAGATCTGAAGTAGCGTGTGGCGTTTACATGCTAACAGTAGTGGTGGGAACATGGGTGAAGTGGCAGCCTGTATGTGCAATGCTCAGTCTGAATGGGCTCTTGCTACTTTGCATGGGTACTCTGCAATACGGAAGCCTTTTTAAAGGTGTGTGTTCTTGAGAAAAGACAATGCTGCTTTGGTTTGTTTTCCCTTTTTGTCATTAGCCTCCAGAAGGCGTGTAGAATATACTGCACAAGCGTACAGACATATACAGAGCACTCTATGTAGCTCATTCATTGTAGCTCCAAAAGTTCAAAAATCTACTATTGGGTTCTACATCATTAAATAAATTACTGTTTTTGTACACTGGAGGATCATTTATATTAAAGAACCTTTCTAAAGTAATGATTCAGCTGTTTTCTTTTTGTAACCGCTGAGTTTCTCACTGTAACTGCTTAGCATGACCGTAGTGTGTCCTTTCCATCTACACAGAGACTCAATGCTTTGAATCAAACCGGACATGACTGGTCAGCTTCATATATCTGTGTCAATGCTCCTGTAACAGTCTGCTCTGTTCTGAGATTTCCTAGGTCCATAAACGCTTCACGAACGAGCTCCCTTTGTCGCTGTTTGTTGTTTATACCGTGTTAATAAAGATATTTGATTTATAAAACTATCCTGTGTTTGATATTTGTATGGGGGGGTGTTGGTGTTGTCTTTGATTGTAAATAACTAGAACTTTTAAATACACATGCAGTATTGGCAGTATTTTACTATGTATTGCAATATATCATGCAGCAGTTGAATTGTTAGTTTTCGCTGGTTTAAAGTTATATGAGACATGGGAAATCAAACACACCTTCACTCAAGCTACAACAATATGCTGTAACGCTGTATGCATTTGATCTTCAGGATTCCCTTAACCTTGCCTAAATAATAAGCAGGTAAAAAAGCTTAAACACAAATATGTAAAAACTGAAATTGTAACAATATTGTATCATGAGCATTATGTAGATTAATTATTCATATGGTTGATACTAGGATGAATAACACACACACAAAGAAATAAGCAGGTTTGCTCAGAATAATAAATACTGTAAATACTTTTCGTCAGTTTGACATTTCAATAAATAGAATATGGCATCAGTTATGGAAACTTTACATTGCATTATTCCTTCACTCCATACACTGTGGTGGTACTTCTGTAGCCACAGCTGCTCAGGGGCAGAGCAATGTGAGTGTTCGTCTTCGACCAAAACTCACTCACATGATCCACAGTCTCAGAGCAGGCCTTGCACTGTTAATATTCTGCTTTGATGGATGTAATTACAGTGAAAAGACACTAGATGGCCATAAAAAGGTAAAAAAAAAAAAAAAAAACAGAGTCAAACATTACCACAAGATGGCGACACAGGAAAACAAAGAAGCTTCAGGAGAACGCTTAGGGGGTGTGGGGGATTTTTACATAAATAACCTTTCTGAACACGTTTTAATCAGAGACAGCATTTGAATTATATTGAGACATTTATTTTTGCATGTATGTTTCCATTTAGACGTAATGCAAGTTACAGCAAAAACACACCACCAAGCACTGTGATGCAAGAATGTGGAGCGAAAAGGCCACGCAGAATCAACAGGGGGCGCTAGACAGGGAGAGAAGCTCGTGTTAATGTTCTGCTGGTTCTATATAATATCACAGCAACAGGGCCAGAAATGTAAGGGAAAATTCAACCATCAAATGTTTATATTATTGAGTTCCGTTTTTCAAGACACTTTAGTGGCAATTCCCCCGAACGCAAGGCACCCATTCAAGTAGTTTCCCTATTGCACCTCTGTCCTCCCACATTCATGCTCCAGGTGGTAATACAAGGCCATAACAAATATCCATATATATTACTAAAAGCCTTTCTTCTCATGTTATCAGTAGAGTAGACATTTTCCCTAATTATTTGCAGGTTTTCTCATTCCAGTGCCTTTGCAAAAATCCAGTGTACAATAAAGTATATTTTTTTCATAATTATTCCCCCCCCCCCCCCCCCCCCCCCCCAAAAATTATACATGTTCAAGTCAGTGTGCAACAGTATCAGGAGATTGCTATGCTTCTATACACATGGCAGAAGAGGAGATTATTGCAAGTCTTCCAAAGCCCCGCTGCTTCCTACTGTAGCGTAAAAATAACAATAAATGTGGGGATGATTTTCGGCCTTAGTCACCGCAGATGGTATTCGATGCATAGTAAGTTCAATTGGATATATACTTGTAGTGGTATACTGTTGAGATTGGATAGAATAAGAACATGTTTTGTTTTTGTTTTGTGGAGGAGGAAAAAACAAGAGCTCACTGTCACGTTCTTATCTAATTCAATTTACAAACATTATCATTTATAATCAAACAGAAAATTGCGTAGGGATAGACATGGACAAGGGTATAATACATTGGTGAAGTAAAAGTGTGTTTTTGTGTTGTTTTTTTACATTGTTTGAAAGGTGCATTATGCAAAGGTCTGTGTATTTGACCTTGTAGTGACTGTGAGAGTGGGCAACATGACGCCTTAACTTTTAATCCACAGTGCTGCAGGATCAATCGCCTTGTTGGTTTTTTGGTGAGGCTGTCCATTAGTAAGGAAAACCTACACAACAATTGGAAGGTTTAGCTATAGCATCCTCGCCATGCTGACCACTCTTAAAGCCACGGAGTCAAAACAAGATTAAAAATGCTAAAATATCACCGTTTTTCATAAAATATTGCATAATGCCCCTTTAAATACACTGCCTGACTCCAAAATACAAAAATAGTATGGATAGGAGAGCTCAGAGTATTGCCCTTTGAGTATCTGTGATATTCAGACAATGGTCTCATCAATACATGGCGTTGGTGGAGTATTAAAGCAGTTCTGGAAGAAAAATAAATATGTTCTCAACACAGCCGCAGGATCTCAAACTATCTCTCTCAAACAGAAGATGTGCTCGGATTGCTGGTCCAAGGAAAAATATATTTTGTGGTGAACTTTTTTGGAGTCTGGCAGTGATGTATAAATGGCACACTATAATATATTATAAGAATCTTACATTTTGATTGAGAAAAAATGAGAAAAAACTAGAAAAGCAGTTAAAGAGCCCAGACCTCCTTAATAAGCATCCTAGACTCAAATCTTTTCATTTGTTTCATTCAAATCAAACATGATAAGACATAACCTGCTTGGTGGACAAGAAACAAGGAACAAGAAAAATACTTTTATAAGATCCCTTTGAAGACTCATTTTATCAGACCCCCAGCAACGAGCAGAGAGTTGAACTGCAAACCTACTACTACCATTACTCATACTTTTCCAGTTAAAATAGTTCATATGACATCAATCATCAAAAATGAGAATGCTTCTGGGCAGAGTTCAACAAGTAAAATAAAGTCAGAGATACTCTCAAAAGCCTAAAAAATCCAACAATACACCAACATAAATAATAATGGAAGAAATTATGTCTTCATAAAAACATTATTATATAATCATAACAGTGTTTTTTTCTATTTGATTAACCCAGTGAAATGCATGACCAGCGATGGCAGCAGGACACACAGTGAATATCCCGTGGAGACCAGGCCGAAGCAGGAGACTCCTGCTCGTTCCTCTGTAGGACCAGTGTCTCTCAAGGTGCTTATTGTTCCAGACACAAAATGTCCTCCAATCACCCATCTTCTCTGATCCGTTTTCCATGCAGATAATAATATAAGATATTATACATATTTCCATAAACAAGCAAACACTCAACATAAATTAGATCCTATATTGATAAAAATGTAAAAAGCTTATATTAATAAGAAGTGCTGTTGGTTACACTGACATGTGGCCGGGAATCGTCCTTTCTCCACGTCTCCAAACCAGCCTTACCCCACTGTTCCTCTGCTCATTACAGAAGTATGTCCGTGACTACAAATAAGTCGAGAATGGAAGAGGGTTGAGTTTATAAATCCATGTTGAAGTAAATAGTAGTCAGCATAATAACAGTAACTCCACTGAAGCAAAAGTGGTTCTTTTGTTCGGAGTAGAAGATTGGCTGGGGGTGGGCAGGAGGCGGGGTCACAGTTGATTTGTCTACGAGCAGTACTACTGTTGTGTGTATGTACATAGTAGTGATGTGGTCCTCTTCTGTTTTGTGCAGACCACACACCAGGGTCAGAGATCTCAGAGGCTCCAGCACCAATCATGACTGCAAACAAACAAGCACACACATAGTAAAAGACAAACCATGTAATAGTATAATAGTAATAGTAATAACATGGAGCAAGTAGGGATCGCTGCTGTCATATCAACTGATGCTGATTGCTAACACTGTTTATTCGCTGATATTATTGTCATAGAATTTACACTTTTACTCAAACCAAGGAGAGAGAGGACTTTGCAGGATAAAGTTAGCTGGGATTTAAAAGGAAAGCTGTCCTTTCTCTTCTCAGTTCCTTCACGGGTATCTGCTTATATCCAGTATAAACAAATATTGAAAGCCACAATATTGAAATTATACATAAATAAGCTGGATTGCTAGTAGGGAGTAGTCATTATTTATCAATCTGTCATGGTGTGGATTTTATTTTTGTACTTTGGTTTTAGTTTGACTTCCTGTCCTGTTTTCCCCTGTCTTGATTGTATGCTCCGCCCTGATGTTTTTCCCCTCTGTCTGTGTCTATATGTACCTGTGCTCCTCTCCCCTTGTTGCTGGTCCATTTTATTGTCAACGTCTGTCCTGTATTGTCTCGTCAAGTTCTGTCCTGTTCCCTTTGGATTTTTGAGATTTGTTTTCACTTTGGACTTTATTTTATTAAATCATAATTTTTGCATTCTCGCATTTTGAGTCATTACCCAGACCAAGGATGTCAAAGTCAAATACATCAGAGGTCCAGATTGGTTCAATGTTTATACAAAACATATAAAAAGGATTGCATATTGAACCAAGAACTAACACAGTGTACCTTGTTTATTTAATGATTAAATGAATACTGTCAATAAGTAAAAACATTTTTCAACAGGCACACGGATAAAAACAAACTTCCTTCAAAGAGAAAACACATAAAATTAATAATCCAATATATTCTTATGGCTCTGTGCGGGCCGGTTCTAACACTAATCAAAAACTATCCTGGGGGCCCAAGATAATTCATAATAACTGCCTTGACTTTGACACCCACACTGCAGAGTAAATAAAGTCTGTTGAAATATTCTATGAGGCTGAGTAAATTACAATAGCATACATTTCAAACCTTTGCCACAGAAATGATAGAAGTAGTTAATGTTTTGTACCTGAGTCCTGTGCTGTAGTTCATCGGTGGGAGAGTCTGTTTCTCTGATGACCACTGCTTTTGTCACCAGCATGTCTGGGTGCTGCTGCTTGGCCTCCTGGATGGCCATGGCTAAAGCCTGGGGACAGATGGCACATGTAAAACACCACAGGAGATGTGATTTAATTTCATTCATTCATTCATTCATTCATTCATTCATTCATTCATTCATTCATTCATTCATTCATTCGTTCGTTCGTTCATTCATTCATTCATTCATTCATTCATTCTCTACCCCTTTAGCGGTCCATTTCTGGGTATGAGAGCTGCCACCCAATGCTCATAGCACCAGTATATATCATTAAAAAATCCTTTACGATTAAACCATGACCAATGTCTATAAATGTCAGACCTTCCTGCACCAGCAATCATTTTTTTTTCATAAAACAGTAGGGAAAAAATGTACGGATAATGCTTTTCACAAGACACTTTACACTTAGAATGACATTTTATCCCAGGGAGTGATTGGGATGTTACCAAGCAGCCATGTAAATAACAGTGCCAAAACTAATCAAAAATGACATTATGAGAATGTAATATAGAATGTGTCCTAAAAACTGGAGGATGTGTTTTTATTTTTTTTTTATCCTTATGGTCTGCAGTTCTAGAACTCTGCTTCCTGGAAAGGTTAACATACATGAACATTCAAAAAATCAATTTAATCACCTAAAAAGTGGAATTTCAAATTATAATATCACTTCCTGGTTGTGTGTCTTCGGGTGTCATGTCATGGAAATCACGGTATAAGTGTTATGTTTGATTAAATAATGAATCAAATCAAATAAAAAGCAAAAACCTGGTTCTGATCCACGTCGTCGTCCCCGGTGATGATGATCCTCTTCTCTATCCTGGTCTCGGAGTAGCCGCCTTTCACCGTCTGCGGAGCATCAATCAACCATAAGTGCTTCTATATTTTGCTTCTTTTTAATTACCAAACAAAGCATTCCAAAATGTGATCATGCTCCAGTTCAAACATGTGCAGAATGTGAAAAAAAAAAAAAAAAAATCTTTTTGTTTATAGAAAATTATTTTATACATTATTTGGGTTCATTCATTAGAACAGTAACACATTAAAAGGCTTCATAGGGTATGGACTCCTAATTAATTTGAATAAGCAAGAGACCGGTTTGAGACTGACGACTGGGAGGGTCCGAGGGCCTTTGTGACTTTGGACGAATGAGGCCAGAGTCACTGATAGTTTCACTGCTAGTTATTGGTATGAATTCAACAAACCTACCATGGAATGATAAAGTTGTTTAATTATGTTTTTTGTTCGCATTGAGTTATTTGTATATTCCTCCTCCTGGATGCCTTCTGTTTACTACATCCATATGCTGTAATATTTGAAGCAAATACATTTTACAATATGCTTCATTAACCAACCAACCCTCAACCACTGAAAAACAGCCGAAAGAAATCGCTCTTTTTCTAAAGGACTGAAATATCTATTTTATATTTAACCAGGTGAACTGTTTGGGAAATAAACCTCCAAACCTGACGTGGGAACGCAAAAGTGAACATATCCTCACAACACATGTAAGTAAGTTTGTATTTATATACCGCCTTTTCACTGCAGATCTGAGTCTCAAAGCGGTTTACAATTGTCAATTTTTGGGCATTTGTCTCTCACTCCACACAGAGATGGGAGCGGGGTCGCCAGTACAGGAGGCGCATGCCAGAACTATTGGACATATTTTTAGTGGTAGGGGAAACCGGAGTACCCGGAGGAAACCTACGCAGACACGGGGAGAACATGCAAACTCCACTCAGAAAGGCCCTGGTCCGACCGGGATTCGAACCCAGGACCTTCTTGCTGAGAGGCGAGAGTGCTATCCACTCAGCCACCGTGCCGCCCCCTGTCTAGTATTAAACAGGAGCAGAATCTTGTGCTGATAAAAAATTAAACCGCTTGGTTGTGTAATCAGGAGAAAGTGACGCAACGAGCTGATGAGAGTTTTAATATAAAAGTAGAAATTGGCACCAGTTCAGGGTAGTCTAACGTTACTGAGTTTCAACCGTCTGCTGCAGTAAAATGTGAATTGGCAAATCAAAGACCAGCTTTAATAAAAGCTGGGGTACCTAACTTTCCAACCACATTAAAGGTATTTATGGAATTAGAATCTAATGAATACGGCAATAACTGGTCTATCTCACTGTCAATCATTGTGATCAGCACCCATAATGCTTTGTGTCTGCCATGTCTGTTTATGTAACGCTGGTTCTTTGAAAAACAACTGGGGGTCGCCGTGACAATGTGAAAGACAGCAGAGGGCTGTCTTTTCAGAGCAGCCTCCTGGAAAACGGTTTTTCTTTTCCAGAAAGGAGGAATCATCACAAAAACCTTTGAATTGAACTATTTAATGAAATAATCAGGGCTCTAAAAACTTGTGTTCTATCCCCAGTTTTCACATTCTCGTGTTTTCTGCCTCACATATATATATATATATATATATATCATCTTTCTGAGACAGAAAAGTGAAAGAGAGAGAACCAGTGAAAGTGAAAGGCAAGAGGACTGTTTTATGGCCAAGGACCACAAACCCATGAGCTGAGAACCAGCCCACACACTTACAGAAGGCAAACTGCTCTGTGGTGGCACAGAAAGTGATTTTTTAAGAACAACCATTGTGCAGTCCTATAGTGTAACAGTCAGTAAGCATGGCAACAGATGCAGCGTTACCTTGGTAACTTGAGTTGTGGTTGCCGAGGTGACGCTCTCAGCAGTGATGGTCAGAGGAGACACGACCGACTCTCGTCCGCCGCTGCTGCTCTTTACCTGTAACAAAAAAACAAACATTTACGGCCTCATTCACAAAACACTGAAACCAACAAACACTCATCCGGTAAATGTGTATAATAATTGTTGTGCGTATGATGGTGCTTACAGGGGAGCCGTTCTCCTTAAAAGCACCCGGGGCAGAGACATCTCGGGGGCTGACCTCTCTGTAGCTCTAATGAACACAAAGATCTCCTGTTTATTATCTGAACTGTTGTTAATGAGTTCATGAGAAAATATACAAGACTGTGGATCAAATCCTGTTAATATTCTTTAGCAATAAATATAGGTTTCTGCAAGAAATGTGCCCCTTTTTTATTGTACAGTGTTAGCAACAATGCAGTGCATATGCAAGCAATGGAGACAACCTTAGGGCATGTGCACAAACCTGTATATTTGTGTAAAATGTGTGAAATTGTGTTCATTGCATTTATTTCTGATGATTATACATCGATACAAGGCAACAGTATTTGTGGGTTATGACATCACATTGGTGACAGAAAAAGGTAGAGTAACCCATCTGCCTATATGTGTATATGTTTTTTTTTTTTTTGTGCAACCAGAGAGTGAACATACAATTAAAAATACACCATGGAGGTTTCCAAGTTTGATTCAAAAGGTCCGGATACACATTCTGACCACAAGGGGACAGTAAGATTATTTTTAATGCTGTATTGCTCCCAGGTAAATAATCAGACACCCTGCTCTTCTCCCAGTGCTTTTAGTGACAAGCTGCAAATAACAAAGCTGCTGTTAAGCACAGCTCACTCTGAACTCCCAAACGTAATACTCGCGCGTCACATAAAAATAGCTTTCACAGAACAATAACAATATTATTGCAGGCTTCAGGAGCTACGTTTTTGTGGAAGGCATGATTAAGAGCTGATTTCAACTCTTTTTAAATTAAAGTTTGTTGCAAAATGGTCATGAAGAGAGAGCTTTTTTTCAATCATCATTCATAATCATCAGTCTATTCTCTAAAACTTCTTGTGTCTTATTCATGTCTTTAGATACTTTACATGAGCAGGAAGTGTCCACAGTATTCTTGCAGCTATACACATTCTCCAGTATATCCCCCGTCACCACTGAAATCTCACTTCAAAGCCCATTTTTCACAGTCTGGCTGCAGCTGAAGAGATCCTGCACCTGTGGGCCCATCCACATCCCCCTCTAACCCCTTCAGAAGAATGAAGTGCCACCTGCTTTCATCCTGTCCGTAAATGTCCTGTCGATGCTGTAATCAGCCATAATGCCGCTGATATTGTGCTAGGAGCATGGGAAATTGTCTAGGAATTTCTCCCAGCTCCACATAGAAAAGTTTCTTTCACTCTCTGGTTTTTAACACAGTGTGAGATTATTTCATGTATTTCTTTATGTATTTATTGAATTCTGTTTTATTGATTTTTTTCTATTAAATCTATCAGAACACAACAGTACAGATGAAGTTGAAAAACTAGTAAAACAAAAAAATATAACAATAAATAATGCTACTCTATAAGCTTGGTATGTTTTGTTTACCTGTGATTCTATGTTCATGATGTTGGTGATGTGGTGGACTTCGGATCCATTACTGTGCAACTCAGACTTCTTCAGCATTTGCGACATTCTCACTGAACTGGGATCTTTCCGAGCCACTGGAGGCTGTGATCAAAGGCAAATAAAAGTAGTTCAGAAATGACAGGAGGTGAGAAGATTAGGTTTATCTGGGGATCGGATCACAAGTAAAACATTGAGATTTGTCAAAACATGAGGGGATTGGTGGATTACACTTGACAGATTAAGGAGGATGACATCAAAACAGACACAACATAATAAGCAAATATTGAATAAGTGCCAAATGATAGTTAAACATCCTTTTATTAACATTGAATTAATAATGCAAAAGAAAATCATAATAATTCCTCTTAAAGCAGCAGACACCTTTCTGATTCTTCACCAGATTTATAGAGATGATTTGTTTTCTTGGATTGTATTAAAGCAAGGTTGTATTGCTGAATAACGATGAATTCTTACAATGGGCCTTGCCTCTTCACAAATCGTATCCTTGCAAACAACCTCGGTCGTTTGCAAAAGTAAATGAAGAAATTGCCGTCATGTGGAAAATCCCAGGCAAATTAATAATTAATTATTAATGTCTTGATGGGTAGGAAAAGTTATGAAGTCCAACTTTTACTTTGGTTAAGTTTTTGCTTTCACAGTAATGCCTTGCACATATAAAAGTTATTCACCGACTAAAGTAGCCACAGTTTCCCTGGGACAGTCTGATGTAAGCGAGGCAGCCAGTCTGTGCCGCCAGTGCCTTTCACTCACCACATTCTTACTGTTTAGGTGTGGTAGAGGAAACTGTTGTGTCTGGAGGTAACCCACCCAGACACGGGGGGAAAAATATGCAAACCTATGACCTTCTTTTGGTGAGGCTTGAGCACTACCCTCTCAGCCACTGTGCCTTTGTGCCGCCATTGTAATACTAATAAAACAATTATAAGTAAATTCATGCCAAAACAATGCAATATTTCAATCATACAAATACAACATGTAACAAAACATAATGAAACACAAATAAACAAACATAATGAAAAATGAGAATGAAATGGTCCAACAGAGTTTCCAGGCGGGTGAGTCCACGGGCGTTGAACCGAAGAGCCATCTACCTCAGGATGATAGGCCTCGTCAGCCCTCTCCTCCATCAGGGGCGACTTCTCCCTTGTGCCCATGAGCCTGGCGGAGTAGAACCTTGACGTCTCCTCGAAGTCTTCTCTCCCCACTTCTGGCTGACGCTCTCCGGCCTCCAGCGCCCCCCTGTGGAAGTCCTCGGCACCGCTCTGTAGCTCCGTGATGACCGTGAAGTCCACCTCAGCCTCCAGGCTGGACGTGGAGCTGACCGTCATGCTGGAGCACTTGCGTTCGATGCCCAGCTGGCTCTCTCTGACGCTGGACAAGGTTTCTTCTTCTGATGCGACGCCGGTCTCGGGTTTCCTTTCCGCCAGCTCCTTCTGATGTACACACAACATTTCAAAAGCCACGCTGCAGCTTTACGTGGCGGCGAGCGCAGGGCCCTCCACGAATGATTTGTTAGAGTTGTATAAACTGACAATGTTTACAAAAGGAGATGGATTATCGAGCATGTAAATTATCCAATGACAGGTGTTGGGTGGTGATGACAGAGAAGATAGATTTAAACAAACGGGATAAAAAATAGGAAAAAAGAAGAGAGAGCGATCATAAATGATAAACAAAATATGACTGAAGATTAAAATATATGTAAGTAATGTGTGGCTTTGCTGATGATTATAACTGAAAGTGTGTTATGTGTGTTTTGTGCTTGTGTTGAACGAGTGGGAGAGGTTGGAACCAAATAAGTGTCAGTAAACAGTATATTCAATAAAAGCTGGGGTACCAAACTGTATTTTTTATTCACTAATACAAGTTGTTTATCCCAGTAGATAGTTTTGTAGCAGTAAAGTGTTGTCAACAAATCTAACCGCATCATGCAGAAAACATTGTAACTTCTTAATAGCAAACTCACTATTTGACGCTTTGGGCAGGCAGCTGATTGGCTGAGAGAGGGTGGTCCACTTGTTTTCCTTTTCTGTCTAAAAAGCTGATCTTAAGATGTGACAGAGGCCAAGTACATGAATACTTGCATGTGTTGAGAAAAAGGAACACGTTAGTTGGAATTTATTGAATAGTAAAGTTAGGAACGTTAGGTACCCCAGCTTTAAAGTGAATATTAGTGAAAAAAACAGTACACAAAATAAGAATATCTTTAACACCTGACTTTGCGCTATAATATAAAGTAACTTGATTTTCATAATGATATTTATGATAATAGTCCGCTCTTTTCCACCACAGTTCAAATATGGACCAAGAGCGATTCACTCCACTCACTTTACAAACATGGACTGCACTGTGTATCAGCCAAACATAGTCGGCTACATGATATGTGTGCGATATCCGAATATAAAACCACCCCGTCACTAAATATTTTGAAAGATCATTGATGACTTATGGGTGGGTGATGATGGGTGAGAAACCTTCCTTTGCATTGATGACTGATATTAGAGATAAATCTTTTCAAGAGAGAGAGATGCAGTATGTCAAGCGAAATAAATAAACGCTCAAGGATGGATGAAAATGGTGCGTAAATTGACTTCCACAACCTTGAAATCTGCAAAAGGTTCTTCATAAATGGCAGGAGTGGAAACAGGCTCCTGCAAAGTGAAGCAAAGTAGCAGAAAGTAGCAAGTGGTTAGAAAAAGGAGAGAACAGACACGGACTAAACTAGGATTCTGTTTTGACTCATGCACAATAGCTTCCCCTCATCAGAACACAAGGACATTAAGCCATCAAAGTGAGAGCTCTTAGCCTGAATATTCTGGGTAATTTCAAAGGAAATGTGGTGTGAAATTGAAACGCTAATGTGGAATATTATATTAGATTTAACATTGAGGACATTATATGTACTTTTGCATTTCATTCAGAGATGTCAGCAAAAAATGTTATACCTCAAGCATTGTGACATGCATGTACGAGATGATATAAATCTTACAGTACATCACATATCAATGTGAAAATGGCTTTACCATCCACAACATAGAAACATGCTTTTTAATGTCATGCAAAATAGAATGAAGTTACAGTAGGAGCGTGACTACAGAGCTACAGAGATTAGTTTCTGGTGACCCACTTTCTTTTGGTGACCTCCCGTGACTTTTTAAATTCATGATTCATATATTTTCTGTATTAGAATACAAATAAGAGTTTTTAATCGAACTGTGAATTAGCTTCCTAAAGTGTATTTACATGGCGCGCATCATGCAACGTAAGGAACGACTCAAAATCAATGTTTAAGACATATTTTGGGAGTTTGCACATATATACTGTATTTGGTCAAGTCAATTCAGGATTTGTTGATAGGAGTTCAGAATAATAACACTTAATTTACAATAATAAACCTATTCAATTTGCTTTGTATCTATTGTTTAATTTCTTGCCTCCTCCCAAATATAGTTTATATATATATGCTGCTTTGGATAACTGATGGTGAGTCTACTGCTGGGGCTACAAATTATTGTTTTGAACATTTTTAAAACTGAGCAGCTCAAAAACATAATTTTGAAACCGAATTTTAATTGATCAAAACAATTATTGGTAGATACAATTAATAATAATAATAATAATAATAATACAAATGTTGTTGCCTTACAGACTTCTTATTCTTTCGTGTGAAAAAAAATCACACTAGCTGAATACGGCTTCAAATCTATATCTTTTTCCTATGGATGCATGAGCGTGTGGTATTCACAACCATTTTGGTGCTGGAAAACATTTAAAGGACATTTAATTCAAAGAGAATCTTCTCAAAATGCCATGAAACATTGAAATATCGTTTGAACTTAAGGGAACACTGTGAGACGAGTTCAAACTTGATTTTCAGCCAATTCAATCATGAACATTTTTCAAGCAAAGCACAAGAAATCACAACATTGCTTTCTCCAAACAGGAAGAAATGGATGGATGGCTCACGGGAAAGAACAATGGATGTGTCGGTCTGAAGCTCATGCCATGTTTGCTTGCACTGGAGGCGGAGGTGTGTTACCGATAGTCTCTTCTTGGCCGCATCGAGGCCTTGCTCCCGACCTGCACTCCGACTGTTCCTCAGGATCAGCCCCGACTCCCTCACCTTCTGCGTTTTGACTGGCGGAGCTGGTGGAGCCATTTTAGGTATTGTTGACAACTTTGAACCGAACGACTGGCTCTCTGTGGGCCCTTTTCCAGCGTGATCGTGAGTTCCGGTCTTAGAATCGGACTCTCTGAGGTTCTCCGGGTGGAATGCTGTGACTTCAGTCCAGTTGAGGTCTGACGATCCTTCCGGTGAACCGACGGACCAACGATACTCTCTTCTGAACACTTGTCGCAGTTCGTCTTGTCCCGGTCGATCTCGTTCGTCTTTGCACGCCACACTCTTGGAGCGCTCAGGCTTCAAAGGGACAATCCTGGTGATCTCCGACTGGTGACTACCCGACAGTCTGTGCAGAGATGTCCTCTTCTCGCATCTGTCTCCGAGGGTCATGTCGAAGTCTTCCCCTCCTGAACTACTCACTTTCCTCTCGTGGGTCCTTACCTGGCGTAGCTTAACCTCAGCTAGCTCATTGTTGTCAATAACACCCTTCCCTCTCACCTTTGACACCCCCTTGAGCACTGCTAATGAACAATCCTGTTCTTCCTTTCCGGGTCCATTCACAGGGCTGGAATCAATATCTACCAAATTCACTATTTTCTTCACACCTTCTGCAGTCTGCCGGGACACTTCTCTGGACTCAATAGCAGATCTATCGTGTTTGCTACTCTTACAAGCCCTAATACCCTCTTCCTTTCCAAATAGCTGATAATCTCTCACTGCATCCATTGACTCTCCGCGATGTACAACTCTAGAGACCTCCTCGTTGCTATCGCCTGATTCAGAATTGTCATCTCCTGAAGAATCTCCTCCTCCTTTTCGGTACTCTCCTTGCAAACCCGTGTTCAAACTTTGTGGACGCCTCTTTTTGCGTGGGCGTTCCTTTATCTGTCTTGGGCCCAGAGCAACGCTACTGCTTGCCTCTAGGTCTTGCGCTTGAGGAGGTTTAGTTAAAGATTTATCTGCATCCTCCAGTAATTGAATCACAAAGCGGCTTTTGTTTGGCGGTCCGTGGTCGGCACACACATCTCCCTCCTGGGCCGTTTTGGTCGAGGGGATCTCATTGATATGGCTTTTCATTTCTTTCCTGTCATACCCTGTTACCTCTGTTTGTCTCATCTGGCTTACGTCTATCTCCTGCTCGTTTGGCTCCCAAGCGCTTTCCGGAGTGAAGGAAGGAGAAGCAGCCAGTTGGTTCTTTTCTTCTGCCTTCCAGTCATGCTCTTGATAACTTTCTTGTTTTTCAATCAATACCCACTCCTCGGAACCCTATATGTTGGTATAGATTGGAAAAAGTTAGATACAGCAGGTGCAGCTGCCGGATAAAAAAAACAAAAACTTATACAACTTTTAGGTAATGGACTTTTGGATGTCACTTTTGTTTGATGAATCAATATGGTAAATTCATTAGACCACTGACTGCTGAAATGGAGTATGTGAGAGATTAGATTATTGCGATGGCAGGCTGGTTGTGAGTTTATGAGCCAGTCTACCTTGCAGTCTCTATCCAATTCTAACTGTGATAAATTTGTCAGCATACAATCAACAAACAATCTCCTGCATGTTGTGTTATACAGCGTTTGAACAGAAATTGTTCTGATCAATGCTAGTAAACACTAATACAACAGAATATGATCTATTTTGCACATTCACTAACATCCACAGTTAGGTAGAAACAGTAAAGAGAAATAATTGCAACCTCAGGAGACGTCATCACAGTCTTCTGGACAAAGCCCTCCATAGACAGGCTGTTTACAGGTTCTCTGCCGTGGGCCACGGACTGAACAACACAACACAATGTAGAAGAGAGACAGAGTTCATAGAGAAAGTGAGCAGAAAGTGTGGGGAAAGTTTGAAGAAAGCCACAATGCATGCAGAAAAGAGAAAATCTGAGAATCCCTTTCACTGACAATTATGCTATTTTTGAGAAAGAACTTTCAAGGAAAAATGAAAAAAAAAAACGAAAAAAACAGCTGTATCGGTGAACCTGGCAGTCATTAAATCCACATCACTAAATCAGCAGGCATTTGCAATTCTAATGTTTCTTTCCGGTAACTACATCAAAGGAGTGTGTGTGGCTGAATGTCTTGAAAATATTTTAGGAGCCCTGAGACTTTCCCAGTCACTGAACATCCGTCAAACCAAATTACACCTCAACAGTGTGTTTCAGCAAAGAGGCACACGACAGATTACACTTTGTGCTGAAGATACAGCGGTTGACACTCCGTGGGAATAATCTGATTGTTGCAGACAGAGGAACAGGCTGTCAGCGACTGCAGCTCAGAGACAACTATATACCTTCTGCAAAGTGTATTACTGGTTCAGGGATGATCTGACATAAGGTGTTTAGGAAATTAAAGAGAAAAATGAGAAATAGCCTCTTCAATTAGGCTTAAGGGTAATTTCAATACATTACCATGGCTCTTACATCTTGTCGCTGGTCTGTTAAAAGGATTTGGTCTAATTTTTATCTTTCTTGGGTTCAATGCAATTTCGTACATTAATTAAGGTCAATTCAATCACACTTCAAATATGTATGTACAATTTAATTCAACACCCATATATGCTTCACTTAAGGGAACAGCTATTACTGTAGATAACAAAAAAGTGATGTGTCTTGGTGCTTTCAGTAATCTATAACAACATAAAGAATTCTGCATAGAAATACATAATCATTGTAAGGAAGAACTTATATGGGTAGGTTGAGTGTCTTGAACTGTGAACCTGGGTGTAAAATTGTCAGTGGTTGTTTCAATGCAATTCAAAACACATTTTTCATCCCCGAAGGGCAATAAACAAATGGTTTGCTCACCATTGTTCCGTTGTTTCACAAAATCCTGCCAAAACCTCTTAAACTCATATACAATTTTGAAAGACTGAATCATGCTTCTGTGGCTGTAGCCGAGTGGAAAAGCGTAAGGTCAAAATATACCTATGATTTTAACCCTTTGGATGCTTAATTATCAGCATTGCCACATGAGTCCAGGACACTTTCTATCCAACGACCCGGTTTCTACCTTCTAAATATGCTGTATCTTGGGCCAACAAAAATTATGAGCAAGAACAGTTTCCCATCTCACAACTTCCCACAAATGAGTCCCTAAATGCTTTCATAGTGTATTGTATTGTCTTTGTACTGGATTTCTGTCTTCCATCTCTTTCAAAGTTCTAGGAATCCACCTATTTTAGATTGAATTTCTGATGAAAATAGAAAGAATTGTTGCGTTTGGCACCCTTATATTACCCAAACAGACAAATGCAGAGCACAAAATGTACAGGTATTTTTATCCCAAACACATAAAATGAAAAATATCAGTTTATACGTCTGATTTCAGTAATCTCTGCCAAACCTCAGCTATAAATCTTCATATTTGAACGGACCAACAAATTAGAGAATGACTCACTGCTTTCTTCTCGGGGGTGCCAGTCGGGGAGGTGGAGGACAGGCGCGTCTCTCGGTTCACCAGTTTGCTGTTGGGCTCCCTCAGAGCTCTCTTCAGCTCGTTGATGCTGGCTTGGTGCTTGAGCAACACGTCCTGGGACTTGTCCAGGAACTGTGAGATCAGGGAAGAATACAAACAAACAAATGAGATTGGCAAGAGATTTGGAGCAGAGCTGATACACATTGTAAACCACTAAGCATGACAACAGCTCATAAAAAAAGATCTCAGATATGACACGTTCATACCGACAAGTCAAAAGTGATGCATTTATAAATTAAATGGGGATATACATTCAGCCGGATAGTGGTTATGACAAAAAATATCAAGCAGTCAAATGGAGCATGCAAAAAGACCAGAAACCTAAATGAGGCTTTACAGACGGCTTCATAAAAATATGAATGGGATGATTTTGTCCATACAAAAATTATCTGAAAGAAGTAACTGAAACTTGCTGCTTCTGTCATTTGGTGCAAACCTCTAGCACCTATAGAGCTTATCCTCCAAATAAAATATACCAACAAAAGCACTGTTTAATGTGGCATTATCTCAAAGTCAGCTGTACCTCCTTTTTGTGGCGAGGTGTGGTCTCATGATCCAACTGTCGCAGCATAAAAATGGTCAAAAGGTAAATTTTTCAAGGCAAGAGTCAGTGTCTCAGGAAAACTATTAGCCACAGGTACAATATCTAAAGAAATAAAAGTACTTTTCTTTATAACTTGAGAGATATGCAGTGTTTTGGTCAGTCGCAGGGTATGTATGGTCAGTCCAAGGTTAATGACAGTGAGGACCAGATTACGGATGTAGACATTTGAGAACAGACACATTATAATAGTATACCTCATGCTTTGTATCTGTTGGTGAGAGATTCCCCTCCTTTTCGGCAAGCACAAGTTAGAAGAGAAAAGTGTGTTAGCTGCAGAGGCTTTGCAACAGTTTTTGCACAATGAAAGAAGGTTAAGACCATGAAGCAGAGATCTTAAGCAGGGTCCTCTGAGCATGCGAGAGAATCAGAGAAAAGGAAATGTTAAACCCCACAACACTGTTAGGCTGCTGCAGGATGAGACATTGACACATTTCTCACTGATACTCTCAAACTAACAAGACAGAGAAAATCTTACACCACAGAAACATACAATTACTCTTCAAGTATAGGACTCAGGTAATAACAAAGCATTCCCAAGGAGCAAAGTCAAGGCAAGATTCATTGGAACAACCTGATGCTTAAATTGCTGTGTTTTGGCATCACAAAAGCCAATTTCACAGGATTTACTGGGTCTACTAAAGGCTTTCTTTGTAAAGCAAACATTGTTCAATATACTAGCTAACAACAATTGGTGAGCAAAAATATATAAGAAATTGAAGTATACTTTGACCAAAATAATCTGTAATCTTTTAGACTGTGGTAGGGCCGAGAGACTTGATCTAGTAATCTCTTGAGGAAAACACTATAATACTTTCTCAACATACATCTGTATGAGGAGCCTACTGTTTTTTAGTGGTAGGGGGAAACGGAGCACCTGGAGGAAACCTATGTTGACATGGGGGGAGGGGGGGAACATGCAAACCCGACAGAAAGGTTTAGTGATCTCCATGAGCCAAACCAATACGTTCATGTTATTGAAGTTTACTAAATCTTGGGAGTACACTTTGTGCTGAAGATACGGGGGCAATAGTGGCTCAGTTGGTAGCGCGCATTGGCATTTGAGCCAGAAGATTGTGGGTTCAAGCCCACCACAAAACCTTCTCCACCGACTCCCACTGATGTCCTTGTGTCCTTGGGCAAGACACTTAACCCCACTTTGCCTGAAGCCCCCGCTGAAAGATCAAAGTTCCTGTGGATCAAGGCTCCTGTGGACTCACCACCTGAAGGAGGATCAGTGAGGGGCTGGTGCTCTGTGAATAGGGTCCAGCTCTGACTGCCACCCCCTTCCCGACCCAGAAATGGATTAAGGGGAAGAAAATGGATGGATGGACATTTTGGGAGTAGGCCTACAACCTTCTACACCAGGTGTCTCCAACCTTTTTCACCCAGAGAGCCTGATTTTGGGTACAGTCATTATTTATCATCGCATATTTGTTACTAGTGCACAAAGTAAGAGAATTTACAATAATACGTACTGATAATGAATTATACAATCTGAAATATTGAGAATATTATTTGATTTTATTAATTTCGGCGGCACGGTGGCTGAGTGGATAGCACTCTCGCCTCTCAGCAAGAAGGTCCTGGGTTTGAATCCCGGTCGGACCAGGGCCTTTCTGAGTGGAGTTTGCATGTTCTCCCCGTGTCTGCGTAGGTTTCCTCCGGGTACTCCGGTTTCCTCCGGGTACTCTGGTTTCCCCTACCACTAAAAATATGTCCAATAGTTCTGGCATGCGCTTCCTGTACTGGCCCCTCCTATCTCTGTGTGGAGTGAGAGACAAATGCCCAAAATTAACAATTGTAAACCGCTTTGAGACTCAGATCTGCAGTGAAAAGGCGGTATATAAATAAAAACTTACTTACTTACTTACTTACTATTTCTAAATCCTTTGGCAAGCTACCTGGGAAGGGGTGGCAAGCTACTGGTGGCTCCCGACCTAGAGGTTGGAGACCCCTGTTCACCACAATACCTAGCCTCCGTTAGAACCCAGGATACATTTATGCTATAGCCTTCTGCATGCTACTGTTCGTCTCTGGGCTTTCACCCTGACACTTGCACGCGTCTGTCTCCACTGAACATCACCATCAGAGGGGTGAGACAGATTTAGCCCTTACTCTGAGTCTCACCCGGCCATCATGAGTGTTCATTCAGCTGCTATCAAAAAACATATTTCAAGTACATTCTGTTGTTGTGGAGGGTCTAAATCTATAATCTACCTGAACATTTTAAAGTGCTTTGGGTGACCTCGGTCTGTAAAATGCGCTATATCAGGGGTCACCAACGCGGTGCCCGCGGGCACCAGGTCGCCCGCAAGGACCAGATGAGTCGCCCGCTGGCCTGTTCTAAAAATAGCTCAAATGGCAGCACTTACCAGTGCTATTCTTGTTTAAATCATACTTACATGCAACTTACAAATGGCATATAAACTAGAGCCGGGACTTTAACAAGTTAATAAAGATTAATTAACCCTTTAGGCGCCAGAGTTTTTTCAAGAAAATATACAATTTTGATTTCAAGATTTCAAAAGGCTATAACTTTAAAATGGTTTGAGATAAAGGCATACTGTAAATTAGAAATATCTTCAGTTTGAACCAAACTTTGGGATGGAAGTTGATTCGTCATCTAATTTGCATATTGTGATGTCATCAAGGTGGCGGCCATTTTGGAAAATGTTAATTATTGTATAAAGACTTCGAAAAGCTGTAGCTTGGGAGTTATTTGAGATCAGGGAATACTATAAACAGTCAATGTGAAATATCTTTAGTATGAAATGAATTTGGGATAGAAATAAATTCCCTGATCCAGATTATAGATAATGTTTTAGCACTGGTTCGCGGCCATATGGAATTGTATTATTTTCAAAGACCTTCAGTGATCAAGACAGCACTCTTTATAGTTTACAGTCATGAAATCTTGAGATTGGTTTCAAATATTTCCCTTTCAGAGAAGTAGTGGGCTTACTATTTTTCTCAGTGGAAATGAGGCTCCAGGATTTACCGTTTAGAAACAGAGAGATGAAATGAATGGGCTCAGAACTTGTCAGATCGTCTCAACAACATACAACAGGCTCTTCAACACTTCTGATCCACTTTTGTGGATTATTTTCTCTCAAGAACTGCCTTCATCCTCATCATCGCTGTTGGTAAAGGCAGTGAACGCGATTAGCGATGTGTTTTTTTCCCGCGGCTCTCCCGCGACTTCTCCCGCGTCTCCCGTGTTCCCCGTGGATGTCTACCCCCGCTACTTTCTCCCACATGCCCGGTGTTATGATCCCCCTGTCCCCTCCACCACGGCCCCTGCTTGGCGTTCACAGAATGCTTCTACCGCGGCCACACGGAGGACAAGCAGCCGCTGTACAGGGGCTGATTGTGGACTATGGAGCGCGGTCTCCCCGTCACCAATAATGTCCGTGTCTGCTTCACTGGACACCTGTGTGTCTTCCTCCTCTGAATCTGAGTGAGCCAGTACCAGACCAAGTACTTCTCTGGTACTGAAGACCTCGTGAGTAAAATAAAAAACACTCTTTCCCTCTGCTCTGCTCTCGCTCCTCTCAGCTCTACCGCTGCTGCTTCGCCTCCGCGCCGCTGCGCCGCAGGTGTTTTACGAACTCAATTTACTCAAAAACTTTCAATATAACCACACCCACAAATGCTGCTCATATCACAGCCACACATGTCCACTAACCCCTGGTGAAAAGTATTAACAAGATTCTGCACCACATTTTTAGATACAGCCTGTTTAACTGAGCAATGTTGCTTGTCGCAATATTGCGACTTTGGCGCTTAAAGGGTTAATAACACACAAAAAAGCGCGTTAAAAAAATTACGCATTTTAATCGTATGTATTTTTGCACCGCGGAACGTTCCTCACTGAATAAGTTTCAGACGGACCAATTGAACTGACGCACTAACCGGAGCTCCGTGACTTTTCTTGTTCAAAAGTACATTATTACAAGCAGAGACCAACTTTAAATTCGAGTAAATTAGACGGGAATGAGCGCTGTGTATGGAGCGATGGACTCTGTGTGTGAGGAGGAGGAGCAGTGACTCCTGTGTGAGCGGAGGAGGAGGAGAAGGAGGAGGAGCGAGACACAGGTGTGTGAGCTGCTAATGCTGATGTTTACTCCGAATGCACACATCAAAAACGTATTATAAAAGCTTTAGCAAACAGCGCATGCCCAGCTTTAGTGCTCACAGCGTGTGCAGTGAATGTTGGGCTTAAAAAGAGTATGTTGTCGTCAGAGTGTGGAGGAGGAGGAGGAGCATATGTTGTCGTCAGTGTGAGGAGGAGGAGGAGGAGCATATGTTGTCGTCAGTGTGAGGAGGAGGAGGAGGAGGAGCATATGTTGTCGTCAGTGTGAGGAGGAGGAGGAGGAGGAGCATATGTTGTCAGAGTGTGGAGGCAATGACAGAAACGTTATTTGATGTTTAGAAGTTATCCCTTAAACTCCATATTAACATGCGTTGCTTAAGCCTCATGTATTCAGTCATTATTCAATGGTAAACTAAAAATCCATGTGAAAAAAATTACTTCTCACTGTTCTCAGGTCAAATATTTATATGCAATTAAAATGTGATTAATTGCGATTAAATGGGACTGGGATTTGTTAAATTTGAAAAATGTGCACTTAGAGAAAATATAAAAGTTTTTCCACAAAATAAATATCATTAATTATTAGTAAAAACATAGAATTAAAGGTAAATTGAGCAAATTGGCCATATCTGGCAATTTATTTAAGTGTGTAACAAACTGGTAGCCCTTCGCATTAATCAGTACCCAAGAAGTAGCTCTTGGTTTCAAAAAGGTTGGTGACCCCTGCGCTATATAAATTACTTACTTACTTATAGTTTTAACCCAGAACTAATTCCACTATTTAGAGCACTCCTCACCCTGACGTCTTTCTTCCTGGTGGGCGTCTCGTTGCCGTCCTCGTCACTGTAGCGGTCCAGCTCTGCTTCTCGGTCCTCGTCGTCCTGCTCCAGACTGTGCTCCAGCTCCGTCTCCTGCTCGTCCCCAGACGGAGTATGCAGGTGCCTCTGCTCGCCGACGCTGCGGTGGGACAGGCTGTCGTGGTTCTCACACATGGACGACATGGGCCGAGAGAACTCTAAAAACAACAAGGAGGAGGCTATAAGAACTGTTACCAATGAAATAAGAATGGGAAAACAAGGACTCAAAATATTATTATTGAAAATAGATTAGAAAGATAATGAGAATCAAAGCAGACAAATAGATAAATAAAAACTTTTCAAAGTTGAAAGTTTAGTTACGTACCTCCATCCAGGCTGCGTGACAAAAGGAACCTCTTACTGGTGGAGCGCTCGAAGTGTGGAGCAGGCCGGTCGATGAGCGCACTGGCCTGTCTGGTCTGGGCCTGTGTTCGGCCACTGTAGCGGAACTTTGATCCCATCACCAGGAAACCTTTTGGGGGAGGCTCCGGTGAAACCAAACTGGAAAAGCAAGTAGTAGGTATGTATAAATTACCATTAGTCATAGTCAATGCCCAAAACTAGGACTAAATGATGTTTACTTTCAAGGGGTGCGTTCACACTACAGCACTTGTTGGTCTATTAGGCACAGGATTTTTTTCCATGTGATCTGTTATTTTTCTTGTTGTAATATAACACTGTATGTAACACGCAGCAAAACAAAGCCTATTTTTTTCACATCATTCAGTCACAACACGACTGAATGATTATGATCAAAGCGCTCTGGTAAATTAAATCAATTTTGAAAAAAACATACTAATAGAACTACTTCTGACATACATTTTTTCCAACACCTCCTTGTATCAGGTAACAATAAGAATCAGGAATGTGTGCTTAGGTTGGTCCAATTAAATTGAACCACCCCAATGAGTGTAAACTAAGAATGATCCACTCACTAACCTATAACCTAACCCTAACCATAATCGTTATTTGGTATGTATTACATAACATTTTAGCTCAGTGTTTTCTTCCTCCTTTGTCCTTCTACTGAATCCCAGCCACAGTACCTGGTGAACATGACAAATTGTTCAGCAATATGTTTTTTTTTTTTATAACACTGAAATCCGTTTAACTGCAGTTTTGTCTGCACGGCAGAACAGTACCTCCAGAGATGGTACAGAATAACTATTGTTTACAAGGCTTTGTTCTTGTTTTGCTCAGCACTGGCTTGGATTGCAATATTTGAAAAACATGATATACTGTACTGTAAGTGTCGCCCTTTGTTGCTGCAAACATTGTAGTTTTATAGATAGGCTTATGATTATTTTCAGGACGTTATATAAAGAATTAGTCTAGCTAGCTGTGTGATGTTTACTGACAGGCATGTGAATTAACTCATAAGAACATACCGGAAGAATGTGTGGTGCTCGATGCAGACCTTCCACAGCCTCTTGGCAGCTCTGTGGTTCGGAAGTTTAAAACCAATGGTGCTCTCAAACTGCTCGTACTGGAGAGAGGAGACAAGATGGAAAAGTATATCAGCAATCATCCTAAAAGTAGCAGATGAACACGCTCACGTCGACACAGCAAATATGAAATAACAGGTTACTGAAAATTGTATTTGTTATAATGACCGTTATTTAATCAGGAAAGTCCCGCTGAGATCACAGATTTTTTTTTCAGAGAGAGGTGGCAGGAGTTGGGTCCAGGAGGGTGTTATGGGGGACTATTGGACATGTTTTTAATGGTAGGGGAAATAGGAGCACCAAGAAGAAACCTACATAGACACGGGGAGATCATCCACACAGAAAGACCTGAAGGTGGAATCAAACCCAGCACTATGTTTTCTTTCTCCGAGTTTTGTATTCAGAGTCGATCGTGCTGCTACGACGGCACCATTAAACAGCTTTTTCTTTGGTTCATCACAGACTCAGCATCTCAGAGCCACAGCAGGGGGTAGACTAAAGAGCAGAGCAAGCTCCAAACAAGGCTGTGTGATGCTATAATTATAGTTTGTAGTAGATTTCAACAGACATCACAACATTCAAATCAATAAAAGGTGCATTTTAGTCAAACATTTTGGCAACCGTCCACAATTGCTAAGGGTTAAGGATATCATTTTAAACTGTTAGTACCTCCCCTGGGCGAATCTTTATGTAGAAGTTGCTCCTCTTGTATGAGATTTTGAGGATCTTAGGCCAAGCAAAGCGGTTGATCCTCAGTCTGTCGCGGTAAATCAGCAGCCCATTGGCACACACTCCCAGCATTATTTCAATCCCTTCTGAGTCCTGGAGAGTCATTATCGTCAAACGTAATGAGAACACATAATGCAGTTAGCGTTGTATAATTGCATTTGAGAGGCTGCACCTTGGCGTGATGAAGGTCCACTCCATACATCGACAGCTTCTTCGCATTTTCTAAGAAGTTAATCTCAGCCTCGGCCGGAGTCATCCCCCTGCAAGCATATCATTCAAGTGTATCAGCTAAATTGGCAGGGATTTTCAAATTAAACAGCACCCTTGGGGGACTGAATTTCTTGGATAATTATTTGTATAATGCGGTCATTTCATTAGCCTTCCTTCCATCTCCAGACGCAACATGTTTGGAAGCCTGCCAATGGTCAAATAGTGAAATAGGTCAGACGAGAGTGCCCTATAATGTGCATGTTAATGTCACTGCATCGTTAGAATGAAAGACATCTATGTTAAGTGTTTATACAAGATTACATAACTCAGTACTATGTGTTAGCCAAATGAATGCTCTGATTTTCATATTTACAAATGATGAGAGAAAACAACATCTACTAGACCTCTGAAGCTGTGCAGGGCAGGGCCTGGTTAGTACTGTGATGGGAGACTTCTGGGAACACTAGGAGCCACAGTGGGGCGGCTGTAGCTGCTAAGTGCCAAACTATCGTTGTGTTCTTAGGCAAGACACTTCACCCACAGTGCCTCGAATGAGTCTGATGTGTGTGTGAATGGTTAGTGGTGGTTGGGGGTCGATGGTGCATACTGGTTGCCTCGCTTCTGACAAAGGGCAGCTGTGGCTACAATAGTAGTTTATAGCCACAGTGTATGGCATGAAAGAATAATGACACGTGAAGTGTCTTTGAGTGTCCTGAAAAGTGCTCTATAAAACCAATTAATTATATACTGTACGTCAAATAAACCAAGTACTTGTAGTTGCGATGGAGCTCCATGATCCTCTCCTCCAGATCTCGGGTCTGGTTTGGGGCAAAGCGGAAGTCGCTGACGTAGTCCGGGCCGTGGTCATCGTGGTCGTAGTCCCCCAGCTCTGCCTGCACGGTGTAAGAGCCCAGCAGCGCGTGAGTGACGAAAGAACAGGGCAAACGGCCAGACAGCATGTCTTCTCTCAGCTGCAGACACAGGTAGTACCTGTCACACACACAAGCACAGGGCACTCAGCTCCCGCACGGCCTGCTCTGCTCCACAACAGGTAGAACCATCCTTCTAATGCAGGGTAGAAACCTAAAAACATTTGAGCTGCTTTGAAGAGAAAATATTATAGGAGGCTAAATAGATTTTTTTTTTTATGTTTGCAGAATGATTTCATTTCAAGCTATACTGTAAACCTCAACCCATTAGAGAAAAATCCAAACTGAGCCCTAGAATCAAAGGCACTTTCTATACAGTGGCCTCTATTGTATTCATTTCTGTTATTGATTTGAGTAGTGCTCTATAGTCTTTCGGGTATTTCACACAACATTTCTGAAAAAAACTGACAGTTAACACAAACTCAGTGCAACACTACTGTCTGATGATAAAGAAAAACAAGCAATCGCTCTGGATGAATATAAAAACTCTAAATCAACATCATCTTTCATAAAGTCGCTTCACTAAACTGCTATGATTTACAATGAAGTAGTTGATGAAGTATAGAGACCTTGTGATGTCTTCAGTGAGCTGCGACGGGTCTGGAGGGTAGAACTTGACAGCAAAGGCAAAAAGCCAAGGAGAGTCTGTAAAAGGCATTAACGAACATTATCTCTCCTTGCTGATCTTAGTCTGTCATAGCAGAAGCAATTAGTGATAAATATGTAATTATGAATCATGATGGAAGCAAAGATGGCAAAATGTCGGCCAACATGTCTAAACCTAGCGAATGACAGTGAATACATTTATCAAAACCAGCACTCGGGAAAGACACTCACTGCGCATCTGCTTCTTGATCTCTTTGGAGGGGTCCAACCAGTTCTGGAAAACAGCGAATCACAGAGGGCCGTGAGATAGTCCCTAATGCACACCCTAGAGTCTCACTGAGCTCTAATGGGCATCCCTAATGGAACTCCTCCATATGGTTAGAAGAAAAGAAAAGCTCCCACCTACAGCGACATCATTGCACTTAAAACTTGAGCATAATGTTTCTGCACAATGTTACACAACTGCCACTGATTCTATGCAGACTCAACCTTTCTGTTTCTATGGGCAGCTCTTCAATATATGTGTCGCCCACTGTCTTTGTGCAGAGAGAATGTATTTCAGCACGATAAATCATTCTCTCAATTAGCACTATGAATCCAAAACTGAATACTCACATTAACAAGATAAAATACGAGAATCCACAAGCATTTTTTTGGATTTATTGTACTTTTCGGTATCAATACTTTCTGTTTCTACGTGTATGTTTTCTTCATTCAATCTCTTTTCAAAACTATGCATCTATTCTGTAAAATTGTCTTTTACAGGTTTTGAAATAAACATCTTGATAGTTTGATTCAAAATGAGTTTAGTTTAATATTGGTTAATGCTGGAGTACCCAACTTTGAATTCACAAAAAAAACATGCACATTTCTGTGCTGTAATTCTCGGGTTATTGGGTGCTACTTTTGTCAAGTGCATCGATGTCTGCAGTTTGAATAGCAACGCTTCTATTTTAAGGATGTTTAGTGTGTCTGGAGCCTCATGCTTAAAAGAGAGACAGAGGTGAGGAAAGTTTAAGGGTTGATTTTCATTTAGCCGTAGGGTAACTAGCACTTGCAATTATAATTCCTCACAATTCAAAAACAAAAGATAATTTCATAAAAGCAACACAAACAATATAGAAATAAACTAAATGTCAATACGGAAAAAAGTTAGGAAGATCAAAAAGTTACATATACGCTGTGTAGTTACACTTCCAAAAATAAAGAGCATTAGTAGTGGACTAGTATGATTATTATGCAGCAATCTGATCTAAAGGCATGGGCACATCTGCTCCTCCTGTGACAGCCTTGTGGCGGCTGCGTAGTCACATCAGAGAACCATCAAAGTCCTGTCTTGTAGCAGACTGTGCTGTTAGCTCCTGCACCGCCACACTAATGCACCAATGCTAATAGGCCCATTGCACCGCTGCTAAAGGCTCTAATGAAGTGAGAGTGGTCAGTCGCTCATATCTACTTTACATCAGACATGTCAAAATTGCACTCAATTAGTAAGGCACTGCCACTGCAATACTTTTAGCTAGTACAAAGGTCATTTATTATCTATTGAGAGCATTCATGTTGTTCTTTGGCTACACACCAGAAGTCATCACACGCACACTGTCCCTTTGTGCTCACATCAAACAATATTTTGGGAGTAGAGGCCAAAAAGGGGCTTCAAACCTGACAATTGAAATCCCAGGAGTGTTTAGAGATAACCAGAGGCACCTGGGCGTCAGTTTCTCCCTGATAAGCATTGTGAGCCTCCGTCACGCTGATCAAAGCAGTTGTTTGAACCCTGTTTACTCCTGAGCGAGAAAGTCTTGTCTTTTTACATTTGTACAATGACTGGCTTCGTGTTTATCAATAGAGAAACATGAACCAAGTAAAATATCACCACTCCTGACTTTTGTAAAAAGTAAAACAGGAACTTAACTATAATTATGAGATAGAACAAACACATCCTGTTTTGTACAAAAACAACGCAAACAAACTAAAATAGGGAACATTTCTGATTTAACTTCAGACTGTGAGAACCCATGTATTCTATTTTTTTTTTTACAAATCCAGTTAAATAACGGAACTCTGTCAATACCATGAAAAAGCTCCTGCAATCTCAATGACACCTCACTAACCTTCTGTGTGTCGTAGTCTGCAAAGGTCAAGCCGTAGTAGTCCTTCTCCAGGAGGTTCAGGTGCTCACAGACCAGATCCACCAGAGCCTGTCCTTTGGAGTGTTTCTGCCAAAGAGCACAGCGGTGAAGACACATACAACCATAAAAAGCCTGAGTCCTGGATCTAAAGCCCATTCGTCCGTGGGAGCCGCTCCCTCCCTCGATGTGGGCTTTCCCGGAGTTCCTCACTTTTTCCAACTGAGTTTTTCCTTGCAGATGCAGGAGGGTCTAAGGACAGTGGTGATGATCCAGGACATTTAATGATATTTATGGACATTGGTCATCTGACTCTTAAAGGAGCTATAACCGTTTCTGCAAGGTTTGAATATTTAGCACCGTCCCCCAACTCGCTCACAGGCTTCTCATTTCCCTTACGCTCTCATCCCACGGAGCCATCTACTTTTATTTGCGATCTGATACACATGCTAACATTAGCATTAGCGCAACTTCTTGTAAGCTGTACAACAATCTGCACTGCTAACAAACTATATAACTGAAAGATTAACGCTACTTTTGCGTCCGAATGTCGTCTAAGCATAGATAGTCCGAGGCGGTCCCGCAGGTCTCTCCCATAGACAAGTCTCTCCAGAGGATACGATGTAAGTTAACTATGTTCACCCGAACTTGATTTCCTCTTTGATAATTTTTTCGCTTTAATTCCCTCTTCTCTTCCTCACTGTTGTGTCGTTTGGGCTGTTTTGCTGTGTACGCAGTTACAGCCAGAGTAGTTATAGCCAATTCTGCTAAAATGCTACTGTGTTTAGCAGCGCCGTAGAGGCTAGAGGACGCAGCCTCGTTCTGTGATTGGAGGAGAGGGAGCTTCACGCTAAAGGGGCGTTCACACCGGACTTAACTTCGGCGTCAAAAGCGTCAGGTTTGCATTGAAAGTGAATGGTGAAGCGCGTCAGGTGAAGCCAAGGGCCCCGGCGTCACTTGACGCGCGTCAAAAGCTTCAAGAGTCGCGCGTACTACGCGCTCACTTGAAGCTTTTGACGCGCGAAACGCTCGCGTATCAAAACAATCCCTTTGACGCCGAAGCTGAGCAAAGCTGAGCTTTTGAAGCTTTGACGCGGGCTTCAACCAATCAGGAGACGAGGAGCAGCAGCAGCAGAGGGTCTGTCTCTGTCATGGAGAGAAGTCATGTATCTGCTGCTGTTGTTTTATTGTCATTATTGTTATTAGTAATATTATTTGTATGAGTAGTAACGTTCTGAGTAACAAAAATCATTGTACACATGCTGTGTAGTAAACGTAGTTTATTTAAAATAAGAACAGGCTGACGATGAGTCTGGCTCAGAGGCAAGGCAGCTCCGGGCGGGCGAGAGCCGGGGAGAGGCAGGGAGAGGCGAGCGAGAGCCGGGGAGAGGCGAGCGAGAGCCGGGGAGAGGCGAGCGAGAGCCGGGGAGAGGCGAGCGAGAGGCAGGGAGAGGCGAGAGCGAGGCGGGGAGAGGCGAGCTCCGGGGTTTGAGAACTCAAACCGGGCGAGTGACATGCGGAAGTACCGCTGAAAGCGAAACTCCTCCGTACGCAGCTCCTGGAGTAAATGACGGAACTCTGCAAACACTGCAGCCTCTCAAGTCTGTGGTGAACCCAGAACATGTTTTGTTGAAGCCCTACAACAACGTTATTTTGCTTTATTTAACAAATAAAGGCTTGCTGCTCATTGAAAAATCCACCGCTGTCCTGACTACAGGCAACAGAGAAGCTCCTCCCACCGGCGTCAGGCGCGTCACTCGCGTCAAAAGCTTCAAGCACCAAAATGACAAAACTATCCCGGCGTCAGTTGAAGCGCGTCAAAAGCTTTTTGAAGCTTTTGGTCTGAACGCGCCTTAAGTCTCTACTCAGCCCTTCTCACGGCCTGAATTCATACACAAGCTGAATCAATGAGCTCATGTTTTCAATTAAATTACGGATTATAATACAACCTGTATGTAGTAATAAGCATTTTCATGAACTCATTTAAATAAAAAAATCGGGTATAGCATCTTTAAGGAGAATGTGTTTCTTATCATTCCATTTCCTGTGTTTGATTTTCTGATCTGTGTTGGCCAATCAACAACCAAGATACTGTTTACAAAAAATAAATACATTTTAATTGAATTGGAAAAAGTCCCCTTCTCCCTGCTTCAGTCACTGATGTAATAAACCTCTTTTTCTATATCACAGTCCATTAGACCAGTGTTGACCAACCTTTTAGAGCCGTGGCACACCTTTTTCATTCAACACAATCACATGGCACACCACCAGAATCTGAAACTCTGCAGCCTTTATTGACAACGCAAAGTCATTCTTATCAAAGTGTATCCAGCACTAACAAGTCTTCTCTAATCATCACACATTATTATCTATTCACATTTTTTTGACCAATGAGGCGATATCAGATCATTTCCAAAGGCACACCAAGCATCATCTCAAGGCACACTAAGGGCACGGTCACATAGGTTTTTACAAACGAACTAGGCCAAGTGGCCCGGATCGTCGCCACAGGTGTGTGAAAACGGCCCGCGGTCACATGAACGTGTTGTCTGAACCGTGCCAGGGAAATTGTGCTGTAGTACAACACTCGGCCCAGCTGATGGCGCTAATACTAACACCAGAGACTACCTCGTTGCCCTGGTTCAGATCCGCTTCTTTTCCTGTTTACATTCTGCTACTGTAGCTAACAGCTACAGTACGGATTGCGTTGTTTAGGGAAAGATACATCTCACACTTGTCCAAATTGCTCTGATGCAAAGTGCAGCAGTTCAGTGGGTAACGTGAATGCACACGTGTGTGTTTGTGTGCGTGTGTGTGTCGCGCCGCGGACGCGGACATACGCACACACACACGCACACACTCGCTTGAGCAACGAGTGTTAGCGCTGAGAAATGAATGAATGAGAATGAAGGAATGAAAAGTGTGGAGTAGAGCAGAGCGACCGCAGACAGGGAGGTTGCAAGTGTGTGTGTGTTTGTGTTCTGGTGTTTAAATAAAAGACTGATTTTTGAATGTCTGAAGTGTTATTGCAATAGCACCAGACTGAGAGCGAGGGTCTGGACAGAAGAGAGCTATACCCGTAGGAAACGCTTTTCTTTGGCCCTGCAGAGAGACACTCCCCCAGCGCCCCTCCAGCGCCCCTCCAGCACAGTACGTGGGCTTATATGAAAGCGGAGAATACGAAAAGTGCAGGAGAGACGTGTGTGAAAATGCGTGTCACAGGAAGACGTAATGTGACTCGCAATATCAAGTCCTCCTCACACCTAATCCCCCACTCCCCACCACCCGCCACACTGACCCCCCTCATCTGCGCAGGGAAGCGGGCCCTGGCCGCAGTTTTTAACCGGGCCAGAGCACGAGTCCAGGAATTGTGCTCTGGCGCGAATGCCGCGGTCAGATGGCACCTAAAGCCCGGATCTAATCGCGAAGCGGGCCCTGGCACACTTTAACCGGGCTTTAGGCTGCGCATGTGACCGCAGCCTAAGGTACCACAGCACACAGGTTGAAAAACAGTGCATTAGACAACTGCTTATTTCCTTTACACATAAACACTATCTAACAATCAACTTGGACACAGAAATAGAATATTAGTTCTAGTCCCAAAACACTATAAAATAATAATTCAGTCTATTTATAATTTTTTCTTTTAATTTGTATGGCCAAGCTTCTCTCCAACGGTGAGACGGTGACTTAATAGTAAAAACAAGCATTAAAATTCTGTGATAAATCTTTTAACATCTGCCTGTGTGACCTTGTCTCTTTCAGTGGCAAATGTATGAAGGCATAATAATAATACTGATAAGGCAAATGGAGGATAAAGAGAAACAAAACTCGAACAAAATAGGCAACATTATGGCTTCAGAGTGAACTCAAAATCTGTTTAGGGCACTTTAATAGTATAAGTAAAAAGCAAAAGTAAAACCACTCTATATCTTTACAGAGCAAATGGGGTCATCGAGCTCAGAGAATGGCCACATATGAATGAAGTCTGAGTATTCTACTAACTATAACTTTTAAAGAGCATAAAAACTCTAAAAACAACATCTTCTGGACACCTTTTTGTGCTGAAGAGAGGCTCATCCTTTCTATCACTATACGACAAAGCGCTGGATGCCTTTTGCAAGTATTGAACGATATAATCTGAGATGTAATATGAGCAGCAGCATTAGTTGGCAAGGCAAGGCAAGGTTTATTTGTAAAGCACAATTCATACACAGGGAAACTCAAAGTGCTGAACAAAACAAGACCGAAACAACCACATAAGGCATTCAAATCATAAATAATCAATTGTCTTTCTTGAGCTTTCAGCTTTCTATTCTTTTTGCAAACTGTTTCTCAGTGTGGGATGTGAAACGGTTTGAGTGCATATAGGTCAAATTGGAACAGTTTTTGGCAGGATGATATATATTAGAAAACTAGATAATCAAACCCCTGCAGACTGGTGCGTGCAAGCCCCATCGCTGACCAGAACAAACCAGATCTTATCCTGAGAGCTGATTGGCTGAGTGAGATGTGGTCCTCTCCCTTTCACTTTACTGTTCTTAAAATTGTATAATGATTTCACATCGTCTAAAAATATGTGTGCGAAAACTTGTGGCAGAGCCAAACAATTTTAAGAGCAAAAAGACGGATTTATTGCTTCTTTTTTATGCATTTTGACCAGCGCTATTTATATTGTGTATTATATTTTTACTGTGATATTTCCTTCTCATTTCGTGATATAATGTGTATAGTATGAACTGAGCTCTGTAAACTTACCTCTCCTTTCCTTCTTTTGTATTGTATTTTCCCAACGCAAACAGCCGCATTTATCATTGTGACAGTAAACAACTGGATGAATAGGCTCTTGGTTGAAACATAATTCTCTCTCTATAAGAGCAATGAGGATTGATGGAAATGATTGCGTTGAGATCAGAAAGACGCCTGTAGCAGCAATCTTATCTCACACCTTTAGGGCAGGATTCTGCAGCTGAGGGAAGGGTTGTGGGTTATCATTATTTATGGTGTGTTTGCCTGAGCTCTACCTAAATGATTATGTAGATAATAAAAGCAATTATTCTTTTGATGCAGTAATACTTGTGTGATGCCTACACTGACACATAGAGAGCTTGTGTATACTTTTTTCATACAGAGAGAGTACATTTTCTTCAAGTCTTACTGTAAAACAAACGCAATTTTCAATACAACAATAAAACACGGCCAGGCAGAGTTCGAGACAGTTTTGTACGCAACCTGATTTATGATCAAAAGTAGATGATGTGTGCTGCAGAACTTGTAAACTTGTCCAGATGACTTATGTGTTTAGCTGCAGAGCACAGATTTCTTTCAGGACTGCAAGAATCCAAACATTTTTGTTATTTCAACAACATTGCTTAAAGCTACATTTTTTTGTGTTTATCGGCACGTCTTTCACAGTGAAGACGGAACAGCACGTGTATTTGATCTATTATAGAGACTATAGAGCTCCAGGCGGTTTTACAATGTGGTGGATCAATGCTTTGGTGAATTCACAGCGTGATATTCTCTGTATTCCCCCTGACACTGCCCATAGGAGAAAACATCAACAAAGACTCTTACTAACAGACCATGCTCATCTCCACGGCCACAGCATAACAAAACATGTGGAGAATTCAATAGTTATGCATACCTCAATTTCTGCTTCAAACTCAGTGGAGTCCAATAAGGTCACTTTGAAGGGGGCCATTTTGATGCGTTTGGAGCCTTTTTGTGGAGACTTGGGGTTCTTATTGGGTGACGTCTTCTCCGACACGTTGTCTGTTTCTCTGTGATCGTCCATTTGTTTAGAGTTCTGCTCCTGAAGAACAAACAGAGATTGAGTGAGAGATAGAGTTATGCTTGAAAGTTTACACATCCAGGTAGAGAGGTCATTGTTTTGGACATATGATGAAGGTTAAACACTAATTCTAAGTGTGTTATCGTCAAATAAAATCATTAAATTGTCTCACAGGAACTGGAGGTTTTTTTTCTAAGAATGGAAAGCTTAGAGGATAAAGAACTTGCATTTAGGGAAAGATATATATATATTTTTTGTTTTTTTTGTGGCACTTTTGGCCGTTACCAATATACTTGATTTGACTAACCTGCTTGGTCATGTTGCTGTCAGAAGTGGAGTCATGCATGCCTGCTGCTGCCCCCTGCTGGTGGGGCGCTTCTTGATCCTGTTCTTGTCACTTTTGTGTGGGTCCACTGCTGCTTCAGAAATGTAATACCCTGAAAGAAGAAAAACACAAATATGTTAATATCTCATTTTTATGTTTAGTCATTGGTGTTGATTCTTGTTACTCTGAAGATTATGGATAAATCAATAATGGAACTCTTGTAAGAAGCATCGCTGCCTCGGTAAGCCGTTTTAATTAATTACTTGCTGCAGGTCAAGTTGTACTTACGCAAACAAACAGTGGAGGGAAATAAGCTTGTGTTTTTCAACTACTGTTTACCATTCATAAAATAGTGTCTTCAAAATCTATGACTGGGACAGGGGCTTCTGAAGGAATACACAATTTATAACACATGCAATAGTTTGAGTAAGTTACGGTCTGAGACAAAGCTTTTAATCATGGAAACTCAAATTACTTTTCATCTGGGCATTGTAGCCATCTCCTTCATAGTCTCCTTCACACACACACACACACACACACACACAAAACACTCACACACATAAAACATAATGTCAATCTACTATTATTTCACTAATTTATATATTCTACCACAACACTGAATCCCCTTGCTTAAATGTATTACATAAAGATTAAGAAAACCATGCGAATAATCCACATTGTACAGATTACAGAGCCCTGTAATCTGCTCAGTCCAGTATAAATGCAGCCTATTACATGGTTCTCTTGACACCTTGTATATGAGGCTCTGTGTTTGACCCTGGAGGTCCTCTACACATAAAGCCGAGGTGATCATGACGGATGAGCAGCAACAGAGCAAGATGCTGGTTCAGCACAAGAAACAAAGCTCTCATATTTTGTTTGTGGCAGCGCTACAAAGTTAAGACGCGGTTACAATGAATGAAATATGTGAAATAAATATGCAAACTATGGCCGACAAAGGCAGATCAGGAAGTTCAGTTTGACTAAACAAGAGAAAACTACAAAACCGCAAAAATTTGCAAAAGAACCCAAACTGTGTACACTTTTCAACATGTGAAAAAAATAACAGTACATTTTTACCCACAAAAAGCTTCCAAACTTGCGATGAAAAGTGATTTTCAGAGCCATCTAAGAAATAAAACAGTTGAAATCAGTTAAAATCAGTTGACGGAACCATCTCAACTGGCTCCTCTCTACTCCGAGCTCCTCCCATGTGACTGAGCTCCTCACCCTATCTCTAAGGAAGCTCATTTTGATTGCTTGTATTTGTGACCCAAAGCTTATGACCCTCCGTGCTCTTGACCACATCAGTCTGATACAGCGACCGCATAACTGCACATGTTGCACCAACTCCATCTGCCAATCTCACGCTCTATCCTTCCCTCACTTGTGAACTAGACCCTGATTAGGCCTGGGAACCCCTGAGCTTAAGGAAGTATGTATGAAGAGGGAAGTCTCTGCTTAGACGGCTGTCCCCACGACCTGGCGACAGATAAAGCAAAGGAAACGGATGGATGGAGAAAATAACATTGTGTCACGCTTCAATTCATAAAATATTAAGTGATTAAGTGACTTCCAATGAAGAAATAAAATTGGCAAAAACAATTAAATCAATAAAATGCTCTTTCCTTACTTGTTATGACCAATATCCAAATGGGACTCCTACTTGATAATGAGACCAGAGAGGCTAGGATCACACCACAAATGCACCAAGTTTCCCCTCGCCGTCTGTCTTTGATACCTGCTGTAATAATTCATCACACAGCCACTTATTGTGCCCTCAAAGGTCTATGGAACACACGATTTCCCTGCCACAGTGAGTATTCTCTGTGTACACACCAGTGGAACACTTTAATCTGTGAAAGACCAGAATGCGAGCATGGCATCTCGACGGAGGAGGGCCGGCCCTGCTCCGGGATGCAGTTTCCATGGTAACCAGATGGATTTTTGTCTCCTCCCTCTCTTTTTCCCTTTACAAGCCGGGTTTGAGCTCAAAGAGGGGGACTGAGCAGCATAATAAGAAGGTAAGGCGATGGGCCAAAAGATGAAGTGCTGTAAAGACACATCAAGGACAGGAAGTAGCACAGAGGAAATGGTTGATAAGGTGAACAGGGTTGCCAATATGAAAAAGTGAAAGGTGATTCTAATGCGATCTCTTTCAGACCACAGCTATAAAAGGTGCAGAGGCTTGGAACTTTAATAACTTTCCGAAGTGGTATATCGTTAAAGTGAGAGTTTAAATATACACATTTGCTGTGAGATACAGTGAAATACAGGGCTGCATAAAGAAAAACACATTCATTATTATCAACAAAGCAGGAAAATGCACTAGTACTGGTTCAATTCTTGTTAATAATACATAGACCACGGAGAAAAAACACATTCATTGTTCATAAATCATGCTTTTTATTCCCCATTCTGTGTTGTTATTCCTCGCTATTGGTTGTGTGTCTAGCAGCCCATACGTTCAATTATGGTCTATAACAGAATTTATATTTAATTTTTTCTTATCAAAACTACAGTAGTTAAATGTTTATCATTACTAAAACTATTATTTCCTGAGCTGTTTGAGTGTTTTTTTTTTTACAATCAGAGCCATTATAAAGTATGATAAAAAGATGATTGTTGACCAAAAAGAGAATTTTAAGGTAATCACTATAGACTGTATATAGTAGTAGTAGTAATCTTTATTTATATACCGCCTTTTCACTGCAGACCAGAGTCTCAAAGCGGTTTACAATTGTTATTTTTTGGGCATTTGTCCTCTCACTCCACACAGAGATAGGAGCAGGGGTGCCAGTACAGGAGGCACATGCCAGAAATATTGTGCATGTTTTTAGTGATAGGGGAAACCGGAGTACCCGGAGGAAACCTACGCAGACACGGGGAGAACATGCAAACTCCACTCAGAAAGGCCCTGGTCCAACCGGGATTCAAACTTAGGACCTTCTTGCTGAGAGGCGAGAGTGCTATCCACTCAGCCACCGTGCCGCTCTGTCCGTTATATATTAACGCCTATCTCCGCCGCTCAAACTAATGGGCCAAAAATTGTAATCTACTGGAGCTGTCCAAAATGGCCGCGAGTGGTCCCGCCCACAAGAAAATTGTGAAAAAACCATAGACTGTATATATTAATGGACAGAGTCACGCCTATCTCTGCCGTTCTAACTAATGGGCCAAAAAATGTGCTCTACTGGAGCAATCCAAAATGGCCGCGAGTGGTCCCGCCCACAAGAAAATTGTGAAAAAACGCATCTGCGCATGCGTCAGCCGGCGCAACTCCACTCATTTGAACGAGAGACTTCAAAAATTCACAGCAAGTAAACTAGAGTGGCAAAAAAATCCACCCCCCTCAGCATTGACACACATGTGGAACGGAGCTTTGGGCCAAGAGCCAACTTTTGGTCCATCCTGTAAAGACGTTTTTGAGAGGTCTGCCAATGATATATGTTAGCATTGGCTAATTCTACTTCTGGGTCCACCCCCATCGGCCCAGGGTGGTATTGCAAGCATGTCACCGCACGTCATTTTGGCCACTTTTGAGCCGGGACCCGCCCCCACTGGTAATCACGGTGCATCGAGTCTACTCAATAGTATCAGAATCCAAACGTTAAATGCTGGTATCATAACTTCACAAATAGGGACTGTAACCTCCATTTTAAACATAATGTTTCATTTAGGATATTAGGATATAGGGTTTTCCAACCAAATATTCTTAGAAGCTCTAATATAACAACTGCGTCCTAAGTAGCATTTCCCAAGCAGTGACAGAATAGAGCATTAATTATAGACCTAGAGCAATAGTGTGTCATGATGCACAGCCACACAAGCCCTCACTATAATCTCATGTTGTTCTGCATAATCCCTTTGAATCTACTCCAACATGGTGGAACCTGTGGATACGGTTCATACAGATATTCTCCCGAGGCTCTCAGATGAATCTTCACTGGATTTGGTTTGCAAGCTATTTTCAGAGATACAGAACACAGGTTAGAGGAAGCAGCCAATCGGTTATTATTGGGAAAAGGGGATATTTCTCGGCAGATCAGTTGTTTTTTTTAACTGTTATCTTGCTGCCACAATGACCTGAATCACAACTAAAGCAGTTGGGAACAAAAGCTAACACAAAAGTACATCCGTGACATGTTAGTGCCATACAAACCAACTCGGACTCTGAGGAGCACAGGGACTGGCCTCCTGCTGGTGCCCAGAGTCAGGACTAAACATGGGGAGGCTGCATTTCATTTCTATGCAACTACAATCTGGAACAGTTTTTCTGAAAATGTGAGACATGCTTCTACTCTGACAATGTTCAAATCCAGGTTAAAACAGTTCTGTTTAGCTGTGCATACAACTGAAGGATGGGGCTGGTGCTATGAGACTTGGGTGGCATCTCTGATTGCCACCCCCCTGACCCAGAAATGGATTAAAGGGTAGAAAATGGATGGATGGATGGACAACTGAAGGATTGTATCTTCACTATTTTTTATGTATTGGGATTATACTTATGTCTTATTATACATACACAACGTTTATTTTTCTTTTGTTAGGCACTTTCATACAAGTTGCCTTGTATGAAATGTCTATGCAAATAAACTTTGTCCGTCAAAGCAATACAATTTTTACCTTTGAGTTATAGGTACAGCATTGATTGAGTACAATTGTTATTACTAAACAACACACTGCATTGTTAACCCAGTAACTGTGCATGTAGTTTTATATAGATGCTCACTACAGTCTCAGTCGTCAAAAAGCTTCATTTTGAACCATAGTGCAATGTGTTGGCAGAATAAATGTGTGTGAATATTCCTGGAGTGAGTTCTGGGGGAATACACAGCCCCAGCGCCACATGCCACAGAGAGTTCATGTATCCCGTCAGTCATCAGGACGACGTCAGCTCAAGGTCTCTGTCAGCGTAAGCCACACAGCGCACTGACTGACACCACAGCGTGTGTCGACTCTAAACCCAGTACTACCGGGTTTTGTTTGTAGGAAAAAGTCTGCAGTCCAAACATCTGATC